AAGTCCTACAACTCATTGCTTGGTGCTTTCACACCTCCATCATTATCTGGGTCACCACACTCCAACTGCATGCTCTGCAGCTTAGGCTATGCTATTCCCATTTCCATTGGGATTCCTTTGGCAAGGGTTCTCATGAACCCACCAACATAGCCTCAAGGTATCACACCTTGGCACATTTGGTGTCTCCACACCATCGGCTCCACGAGCCTACCTCTATGACACTTCTTCTTTGTGTCTAAGTCTTTGCCAAGACCAATGCCACTCTTTCTCATGCCAACCATCTGTTAGCACTACACCATAGAGGTCACACACAACTTTGTGTCAAAGTTGTTTTCTTTTTTGGGAACACCTTTCCCACGACTTTAACATGGCACATTTTGCCATCGATGAGATACCCTCTGTTCTCATCCTTGGATCCTATGATCCCCCCCCCCCATCCTTTGTGGGGTACAACACACCTCGGTCCAAATGCTTCCATCAGTCCTTTTAGGACCATCCCTTGACTCTACTTGAGTCATCCAGCAGTTTTGGACTTGGTTAATCCACAGACCCGTAAGGTCCTACTTGTGAGGCACTAGCTCACTGGAATACACTTCTTGCATTCCTGTCCTACTCAAAAGGACTATTTTCACAAGTGTTACTCCGACACTTGATTTTGTTCTCTGGGGGCAACCTTTGCCCCTTAGGACTACTTGTCCATGTGATGAGAATACCAACTCATCCACTTAATACACCCCCAACTCCTTGGGTTGTTCCAGCATTTATTAGAGGTAGCCCCGGCTACCATTTCGAGGACTCGTGTCCTCATCCATACTTGACCTCTCACGGTCATCCATTCCAGTCTCACCTTCATGAGCACCAGCCTCAACCATATGAGGATAAACTTGTGACTCCTTTATTGTTTTTGGAGTCTTTATCTTCCCCGTGATCCCAACTATAGTTGTTTACCCCAACTACATTAGCCCGTTTGCTGAGTCAAACGCTCATCTGGATCACCTCCTCAACTCAATGAGGAAAACCTTGCACTGTTCCCAAGATCCCAAAGTCGTTCCATTATTGGCCCTTTTCTATCCACCACCTCGTCTACAAGTTCACACATGAACTGTAATGGAGAGCCATGTCTTCCCGACTTGCTACTCCTCAAGGATAGGCCCACTCCTCGGACCTTCCGATGCCAACGCTAGTGGTGATATACTTGAGCACCAATAAAAGTCAGACTAAGGAACAGCTCCGATACCAAATTGTAAGCGACTAAATTTTCCATTTTACTTTAGTCACTTAACCACACCTCTGACCACTTCGAGGAGTCTCATTCACAACCTCCATCAGTCCAATTCAGGACTTGGGACTTGCTAGCCCCAAGAATGGCATCCATGCCACTCCACACTTGCACCTGGTCCAAGTGCTCCACGTGTCCGGTCCCGAGACCGACACCCAAAGGTACCACTGACATCTCGGCCCGTTACGCTAAGGCCATGCCCATTCACCTTTGCTGCACTAGTGGTTCAACACCACTTGCATCACCACCTCGTCTCTCCAAGACTTGGCCATGTGTCCACGAGTGGTCATCCTAGATCCACTCCTTAGCATCCTTAGGATGCCCACAGACCTGGGGAATTGCCTTCCCCAAAGTCCCTTTGTCAGTTCCTACCAAGTCCCTTTTTGCCCCTGGCCGTGTTTGCCAACACTGCCACTGGATCGAGGCCCACAGGCCCGACCACTAAGTCCCACGGTCCTCTGGGACTTCCTCACCACATGACTGTGTCCTTGGTCACTACCCCAGAGGGCTGCTCCTCTTCCTTTCCACAGTCTGGGCCTTTGGGACAACATTTCGGAACACCGTGGCCTTACGCGAGCCACCTGGGTACTCTCCCCACCTATCGCCTTTAGGTGCTCTAGCCATGGGCTTAGAGCGAGGTTCCATTGAGCCACGCTTGGTATCCAAGTAGGTAGTGCCACCCACACTTGGACTGGGAGCATCGGCCAGTCGATCTCCCGGGGGAACTAGAGCCGGCTCTTGAACACTTCACCAAGCTACCCCGCTTGTCGGTCCGTGTTCACTCTAGTCTTGGACTTCCCAGTGGGCAGCTCATCACCCAACACTGGGTCCGGCCTTCCTGGGCCAAACTGGCCTTTCCTGGCCAAACTGGCTCCACTGCAGTCCTCCCCCTTACTATACTTTTGGAGCTCACCAAACCCCCCAGGGTCTGGGAGACGAACGCTTTGGGCTTTCACCCTCTCAGGCTCCGGACTCGGACTCGGACTCGGGCTCGGGCTCGGTCTTGGCCTCGGCCTCGGTCTCGGTCTCGGTCCCGGTCTCGGTCCCGGTCTCGGTCTCGACTTCGGACTCCATCTCGGACTCCATCTCGGGTCCATCTCGGGTCCACCTCGGACTCCATCTCGGACTCCATCTCGGACTCCATCTCGGACTCCATCTCGGACTCCATCTCGGACTCCATCTCGGGTCCATCTCGGGTCCATCTCGGACTCCATCTCGGACTCCATCTCGGGTCCATCTCGGACTCCATTTCGGGTCCATCTCGGGTCCACCTCGGACTCCATCTCGGACTCCATCTCGGACTCCATCTCGGGTCCATCTCGGACTCCATCTCGGACTCCATCTCGGGTCCATCTCGGGTCCACCTCGGACTCCATCTCGGGTCCATCTCGGACTCCATTTCGGGTCCATCTCGGGTCCACCTCGGACTCCATCTCGGGTCCATCTCGGACTCCATCTCGGACTCCATTTCGGGTCCATCTCGGGTCCACCTCGGACTCCATCTCGGACTCCATCTCGGGTCCATCTCGGACTCCACTTCGGACTCCAACTCGAGTCCATCTCGGACACTCCCACGTGTCATGTGTTGGTCCTTTTGGGTCCCTTTTTGGAGCCTCGCCTTTTGCTCGCTTCGTGCTCGTTCCTCGAGCACTTCGTTGGGAGTTCCACTCCCGCTCTTGACTTTTCAAGTCGGAGCTTTTGGTCCAAACGTGTTACGCTCGTTTGGCTCTCGCTTCGGCCACTACCATGTGGCGCCCTTCCGGCTCCACTTTGGGGCTTAGGGATTTTGTGTCTCACACATAAGAGAATTACTTACTTAAACTCTCGAGCCTAGTGGAGGACCTAGAGCACTTGTCCAACCTAGGAACTAGCCGAAGCCTCAAGTGAGCAATCTAAAGGCCATCTCTAGAGAGGCAAATGCTGCAAACTGAATTTATGGCTTGCAATAGCCACCCCAATCCTTCAAACTCAGAATGTGGTGAGGAAGTCCAAGTGGTCAATGGGACTTAGTGGTTCAGGCTTTAAACCCTGACCCCATGGTAGTTTTGGCGAGCATAGACATGTACAGAAAGGGGTTTGGTGAGGACTAAAGAAAGGATATTGAGGATCTTTATGTCTTCAGGCATCATAATGATGCTAAACTGTAATCATAATATGACCACAAATGAACAGATGGCCTTGTCTTTGGGAAACAAGACTGTGGCATAAATTATCTTGGACTACCAATAAAACAAAGGTGAATAGATATGACTTTAGCATAATAAGCTGATATACTAGTAGTACATTTAGGTGTTTGTAGTGGGATAAAAAATGTGAAGCATTTGAATCTAGTGTAAAGGTAGAGTGGCATAAAGGCCATTCACAAAGTTAATAAACCCCCAAGTTATGAATAAAATTTATGAAGGTTGTGAATAAAACTCCATTAAGTGATCAAAAGTGACTAAAGTAAAATAGAAAAATTAGTCATTTAAAAGGGATTTTCAACACTAATAACTTCAAGCTAACATATGAGTTTCTCATACCAAGTTGAGTTTACTCAACAAAAAACACATAGAAAGTTTTTACCTTATGTTTATCTAGCACAAGTACATATATAATGACCAATTTCTCAAGTAACTTGGGATAAAGGATCCAGCAAAACTAACATTCTACTGTTGTGACAGTAAAAAAAGAATATCCAAAAAACTTGCTAATAAGTAACATTTGATACTCATAATTACATTTGCAACACTAACAAAAGAAGATACATTGAAAGGCAATTGTTTTTGTTGCCATAAGCCTAAATAAACCATCATAATAAAGATTGTCCTTTAAGGGGTTAGTAAGTGCTAAGATGAATATAATGGAATCCATCATATATGTACTTCAAATGTTTGTACCATATGAACATCAACTTAAGCTTCTCAATTGAGTCTAATCCCTTGACTGTTTGAACAATGTCCACAGGACCACATCATATCGCTTAAGCATCAGCCCTTACTACATCATATTATGTCACCCATGTCAGCTCTGCATCTCCAAGCCATGGAAAAGAAAGAATATTATGCTTTCAGTAACTCATGACCTCTTGCTTACAAAGCAAGCACATTACCATTAAAGCTTTACACATGAAGCTGAAAAAAGAGGACAATATTCATAATAAGCCTTCTCTATTTTTTGAAGGGGAGTATGTGAGGCTTGTCCTTACAAGTTTGCAAGTCAGAGATAAAATTGTCACACAAAATCTTTCAAGTATCCTCACACAGAGTTTGACATTGGGGTGTCTCCTAATGTCAAGGTAAGCAAGCTTTTTCTTTGACAACCACAGCTCTTCATTGGAAACTTTGGTTGTTTTGCAGCTCTTTGGATGTGAAAGTGGGCATTGCTTGGTTCGACCACTTGTTCAATGCCCACTATTACGTGATTTTATCACGACTGGTTCTAGGAGTTTACGTGAACGCTTAAGATCTAACCCAAAAGAGGACTCCAAGGCAGGCAACATTTGCGGGTTGACTCTCCAAACGTTCGTTTATTCGTAAAAGTGTTGTTTCGTTGAGAGTTCCCATAAGTTCAAAGTACAATTGCAACCAAACAACAAAAAGGCGCGTAGAAATAGACAGTCGAATTTTCGACTGACTTTTCAATACAAGATAAGCGTTGATTCTCGACGCCGTTGGATGGATGCACCGGTGACCGTTGGATCGACAGGAGGCGTGGGAAATAAATTCCACGCAAGCCATTCAAATGTTTTTAGGCGTGGAGGGTTTTACTCTATCATGGGCCAGATGTGTTGCTGCTTCCAGGTGCCCCAGTCGAGGGTAGCGATCAAGGAGCGATGGGGCAAATTCGACGAGGTCCTGGATCCCGGATGCCACTGCGTCCCTTGGATCTTTGGCAGCAACATCACTGGATCTCTCAATCTCAGGATCCAGCAGCTGGATGTGCGCTGCGAGACCAAGACCAAGGTTAGGGTTCTTGGCTTCTGGGCTTCTCTGGCTGAATTTTGGGGGGGTTTCTTGCCTGCCAGGACAATGTCTTTGTGACGGTCGTAGCATCGGTCCAGTATGCGGTGGTCCAGGCCGACGCCATGGATGCTTACTACAAGCTCTCTAATCCGCGGGAGCAAATCCAAGCTTATGTCTTTGATGGTTTGTATTTTTTTTTTTTGCGTTTGACTTTGCTCGTTTCAAATCGTTTTCTTGCAGTCGTCCGCGCTTGCGTGCCAAAGATGATTCTGGACGATGTTTTTGAGCAGAAGAATGAAGTTGCCAAATCTGTCGAGGACGAGCTCGAAAAGGTACTGAGCCTCTTCTTCTTCGCTTTGGTCTTGTTAGATGCGCTTCTTCGAAGTTGATCTTTCTTAGAGGTCCTTTCTTTTCTTGTTATATGATTTTCACTCCTTCCTTTCGATCGTGGCAGGCAATGGCCGCATACGGATATCGCATCGTCCAGACCTTGATTGTCGACGTTGAGCCGGACAAAACTGTTCGAAATGCCATGAACGAGATCAACGCAGGTTCTATTCTTATCAACTATTCCTATGCATTTGTTTATGTTTTCTTCCGGACTTTGTCCGCGCGTTACTTTGGGGATCCCGTTAACACTGTGCGCTCTTTTGTTTTGTGGCAGCTGCGAGGCTGAGAGTGGCGGCCAACGAGAAGGCCGAGGCCGAGAAGATCCTCCAGGTGAAGCGGGCCGAGGCGGAGGCCGAGTCCAAGTATCTGTCCGGCGTGGGAGTGGCGAGGCAGCGCCAGGCGATTGTGGACGGCCTCCGCGAGAGCGTCTTGGCCTTCTCGCACAACGTTCCAGGGACGAGCGCCAAGGACGTTATGGACATGGTGCTCTTGACGCAGTACTTCGACACCATGAAGGAGATTGGTGCCACCTCCAAATCGTCCACCGTCTTCCTGCCGCATGGACCCGGTGCCGTGCGTGACGTTGCCGAGCAGATCCGCAACGGGATGCTGCAGGCCGAGGCCTTCACGCAGTGACCAGTCACAGATTGCCACAGATTGCCACAGGTTGCCACCTTTTGTAAATAATACAAGCTCTCGATCAATACGTTTATACGATCTTGACACGAAGCTGATCTTGCCTGGTTGTCAAATTGTGTTTATACGACAAGGTTGAAGATGATGATCTTTCTCTTTCAAGCGATGAACACTTGGTGAATAAGTTCATGCTTTTCATGAGGTGAACACATTACATGTTTAGCTCTTCTGAAAACTGATGCAAAGCAATGCTCAACTGCCTTGAATGATCATGACTAGGGGATGGAATGGACGATTACATCACTTTGTGCAACACTTATCATCCAAACTTTTGAGGTACCTAAAGCTGCTGTGTTTCTTACGCTTATGGTATAGTTGAAAGCTAAATGATGCTGAAAGCACTTCCCAGTAAATTGCCCCACCTTCAACATAGGCATTTTGCAAGTAATTATTAAATCAGAAAGGGAAAAAAAAAAGCAAAAAAGAAAAAGAATGTACCGTCGTTGAACTTGAAAGAAATATTCCTCCTCATCTTCCACACAGATTCCCCTTGATTTTGACTCACCAAGATTCTGCCCTAAAACAGAGGTCCCCTAAACTTTAGGGCACACGCGAAAGTTAAATAGCGGCAAACGCGTAAGAGGGGCCCGAGCAAACGTCACAGCGTGGGAAGGCATTCCGGGCAGTCAAGAAAGGCCCCTTCCTCTCCTCAAATCCCACCTCTCGAATCGATTTCCATTTGGATTTGGATTCTAGCGAGCGCAGCCCATATTTTTGTCGAGCCCTGCAAGGAAAAAAATCAGAAAAAATAAGAGAGAAGAAAAATATCAGCTTCCATGGTCGGTGAAAACCACCGCCAGGAACTCCAAAGTGGAACAACCTCTCACGCCGATCATCCATCGATTCCACTGGAAATTCCCCCCTTCTTCTTCTTCTTCTTCTTCTTCTCTTCGCCGCGGCCATGGTGGTTCCTCTGTGCGTCCTCCTCCACATTTGCATCGCCGTCAATCCACCAGGTAAAGCATTCGATCGATCGAGCGAGGGAGAACGCGATTGATTTCTTCTTCTTTCCCAGGCAGCAGCACTCCCGGGAGTGGGCTTGATCAAATCGGTGTGAACTATGGCCGAATCTCGGACAACATCCCCTCCCCAAACCAGACGGTGGCGCTTCTCAAATCCATGAACGTCCGCCTCGTCAAGCTCTTCGATGCCAATCCCCAAGTCCTCACTGCCCTCTCCAACAGCTCCATTCGCGTCACGATCATGGTGCCCAACGAGATCATCGGCGCCGTGGCCTCCTCCCAATCCAGCGCCGACGACTGGATTGCCCAGAGCGTCCTGCCCTACTACCCCAGCACCCAGATCATCGTCATCGTCGTCGGCAACGAGATCTTCTCCTATCCAGCCCTCGCCCAGACGTGGCAGCAGCTCATGCCCGCGATCGAGAACCTCCACCGCGCGCTCCAGAGCCACAACCTCGACGATCGCATCAAGATCACTACCTCGGTCGCGGGGGACGTGCTGGCGGCGTCCTACCCCCCATCCGTGGGGAGATTTCGCCCGGACATCCGCGACACCGTGCTCAAGCCCTTGTTAGGGTTCTTGCGGACAACGCGGGCGCCATTCTACATCAATCTCTACCCCTATTTCGCGTGGGCGGGCAATCCGGTCAACATCTCCCTGGGCTACGCGCTCTTCGATCCCGCCGCCACGGTCGTTCCCGATGGCAAGCTCAGGTACACGAATCTGCTCGACGCCATGACGGACGCGACCTTCTCGGCGATGGAGGATCTAGGGTTTGACGATGTGGAGCTCGGAATCAGCGAGACGGGGTGGCCGAATGCCGGCGATGAGAACGAGAGGGGCGCTACGCGATCGAACGCCGCGACCTACAATCGCCGGCTAGTGAGGAAGGTGATCGAGGGGAGAGGGACACCAAAGAGGCCTAACAGCGCCATAGCGACTTTCATCTTCGCACTCTACAACGAGAATCTCAAGCCCGGGCCTGGCACCGAGCGGCATTGGGGGCTGCTCTACCCGGATGGGCGGCCGGTTTACAGCATCGATCTCACGGGCAGGCTCTCGGATTCGCAGTACGAGGCGGTGCCAGAGCCCATGTCGGTTGCGGTCGTGAATTCTTCCTCGTCTTCTTCTTCGTGGTGCGTCGCCAGGCCGGATGCTGATACGAGCTCTCTCCAGAGAGAGTTGGACAGGATTTGCAGCCAGAATCCCAGTGACTGCGCTGCGATCCAGGACGGGCAGTCGTGCTTCTATCCCAACACGATCATCGCGCACGCCTCCTACGCTTTTAATCGTCGCTGGATCCGAGAGAATCAGTGCTCTTTCTCGAGCACGGCGGCTCTAACGAAGATCAATCCAAGTAAGCTTTTGGAGTTTCTTTGCTCGTTTTTGGAGTTTCGAGCTTACGATTTGGATTGACTGACAGGCTATGGATCTTGCATCTTCCCCTCGTCGAATTGATATTGATTTGACAACACGTATAGCTACAATACGTTACGAATTCGCCTGTACACACCGACAAAAAGCATCGATCGATCGCCATCGTTTTCGTCGTGCTGCTGCGTTTTTTCCAAGCCACGCAGCTCCGCCGCCGCCATTTGGAGAGGGAAAAAAAGGAAAAGGATCTCCTTTTGGTGATTTCGCGTGCGTGCGTGTGTGTGTGTGAGTGTTGCGTTGTGGGTGCGTAGGAAAAAAAATTCGCAAATGGAGGTTCTATGCGTACAATTAAAGAACTTCCGGTCTTCCCAAAAGTCTTGGGTCACATCAAATGGAAGAAACTTCTAAATTCTTTTTCTTCATTGGATGTTCACTAATATACACTGGAGAATGCTCCCTCGTATATTGTCTCGTTCTCGTTAAACGAACCTTTGTGTGAGATCTAAAAGGTGTTCTATCGAGTCCCAGTGATTCTATGCTGAATCGCACGAGCTGATGCTGCTGTTGCTGCTTTGATTGAGATGATCACACACTGCTGCTGGCTGTGTGGAAAAAACTTGGTGAGGACGAAAAGGAAGAAAAAAAATTTCTTCCCTGCTTCGAGCTATCAAGCGAGCGAGCGCGTCACGCATTGCCGCCGCCGCCGTCGAAAAACGTTGACAAGCGCATTGGTTTCTTGTTGTCGTCGCTGTACGATGACTCCGAGCCCGAGCTCTCGGACATAGCTTTCCTCCTCTTTTTCCTCTCCTTCTTGACTTTCCGCTTGTCCTTCTTTGCCTCTGAAGTGTCGTCGCTGCTGCTCGCCGAGGAGCTCGCTCCATCCTCCTCGGCAGCGTCTAGATCGTTCTTCCGTCGCTTCTTTTCTGATTTCTGAGCATTTCCAGCAGTAAGAAACTGAAGCAAAGCGAGGAGAGAAATGAATGAAAGTATTACCTTTCGCTTGGGCTTCTTCTTGTCCTTGTCCTTGTCTTTGTCTTTGTCTTTCTTCCCTATGCAACAAGGAACGACATGGGAGAAATGAATGAGAGGAAAACTTAAGAGTTGGAGCGAAAGCTTATACTGACCTTTCTTAAATCTGGTGTCTCGCTTATCAACATGGTTCCGTCCCCGTGAGAGCTTGGCAGCGCGCTCGGCGTCAAGTTGAGCTCTGTACTCTCTCATCATTCTGGCTTCACCGTCTTCAAGCTCGTTTTGCTTCCTTGCTTCTTCCTAGGATCAAGTTATTTGCGTATCTCAGGACAAAGCTCGCCGGCATATAAAGGTGGAGGAAAGAACTTTTTTTTTCTTTTTTCAAAGTCTAGAGGAGAGTGAACCTTTTGTTTCCGCTTGAATTCCTCCCAAGTGATGGTGTGAGAAGTTTGCAAACTTGCCAAACGCGCAGCATGCCACTCTGGTGAATGAAATGATCCATCCATCTGTGACGAGATTTGTTAGCACCCATTCTTCCACGAAAAACTTGAAAAACTAAAATCCCGAAAGAAACTAGCGAGCAAGAACATGAAACAAACGAAGAATCCAATCCAAGAGAATGCGAGGAAAAAATGGTGTATGGAAGAACACCTACCAGTCCGTCGTCGAGATCATCCGTTACACTGCCGGTGTGGGAAGACATCTTTGCCCGTTGCATTGCCTTGTAAGCCTGATTCTTCCCCATCTTTTGGATTGGATCTCGGCTATCTATCTCTATCCCAATCTCGCGTAATCCTGACCAAAAACCCTATGCGCAACGAGCAATCCGGCATCCATCGCAGCACTGCTCCTCCTTCCGACGCCATTTGCTGAGCGAATCCACATACCTCTGCTGCGAATCCTCCTCCTCCATGGCCATTGCGCGGCGGATTGTACCGGTTGCTGCCTAGATTTGGCGGCGCCGCGCTCGCTCGCTGCGTGGAGGGCCAAGCAACCGACTCGAAGGCCGCGATGGCGATGGAATGCGCTGGAAATTCCCCCGATGGAATGGAGAATGCACGAAACCAAATGGATGGATTCCGTCCCAGAAAAACAAAATAAGAAATGGATGGATTGGATATTAGGGCTCCTCCGGCTTTCTAGGGTTTAGGGGTTTGCGAGAGGGCGAGAATGAGGAAGAAAGTGGACAGCCGGATCAGGACGCTGATCGAGAATGGCGTCAAGTCGCGGCATCGATCGCTGTTTGTCGTCGTTGGGGACAAGAACAGGGATCAGGTCTGCGAGATTTCGGTAGCGATTGCGAGATTTTCTGAGGTTTCTCTTGGATCAGGTTGTGAACTTACACTACATGCTCTCCAAGGCTGTTGTCAAATCTCGGCCGTCGGTGCTGTGGTGTTACAAGAAGGATTTGTTCCTCAGCAGGTACTGCATTCCTCCGATATTTTGTTCCCTACCAATTTGTATTTTATCTTTTCTAGCCACAAGAAGAAGCGAATGAAGCAGATAAAAAAGATGATGAAGAGGGGTTTGCTGGACGCGGAGAAAGACGATCCTTTCTCGCTCTTTGTGGCAAGCACCAGCATTCGGTACTGCTACTACGCCGAAACTGAGAAGATCTTGGGAAACACGTTTGGGATGTGTGTCCTTCAGGTTAGCGCGCGCTACGCTTTTCCTTGCTCACAGTTCTTACGAGGATGTTTTTCCAGGACTTTGAAGCATTGACTCCCAACTTACTCGCACGAACTATAGAGACTGTGGAGGGTGGGGGAATTATACTGCTGCTGCTAAGCTCTTTGTCATCTTTGACTAGCCTGTACACTATGATGATGGTAAAATCTTTTATTTCTTATCCAATTGTGGCATCCATGCTTTTCGATTGTATTTCAGGACGTTCATTCTCGTTTTCGGACCGAGTCGCATGAAGATGTGGTCGCCCGCTTCAATGAGCGCTTTATTTTGTCCCTTGCGTCTTGCAAAGCTTGCATTTTTATGGATGACGAGCTTAACATCTTACAAGTATCTTCCCATGTCCGCTCAATAAGTTCTCTGCCTGTTTTGGAGGTACATTGCTAGCTGTCACAATGATCAGCCTCTCAGCGTGTGTCTCTACAGGGCGAAGAAGGTCTTACCGAGTCAGAAAAGGATTTGAAGGAGCTCAAAGACTCGCTGGTCGACACACAACCTGCAGGGCCGTTAGTGAGCAAATGCAAAACGTTAGACCAGGTGAGCACATTGTTCTTATTTCGATCTTGCTAGCCTAACGAACTGTTCCAGGGAAAAGCCGTCGTAACTTTCCTAGATGCTATTTCTGAGAAAACTCTCAGAAGTACCGTAGCCTTAACCGCTTCTCGTGGAAGAGGAAAATCTGCAGCTCTTGGTTTAGCTATTGCTGGTGCAGTAGCTTTTGGGTAAGCGTGTTATAGTTTGTCGTCACGTTTCTGTTTTGACTTCGTGTCACTTTATCTTGAAGGTATTCAAACATTTTTGTCACAGCTCCAAGCCCAGAGAACTTGAAGACCTTGTTTGAGTTTGTATGCAAAGGCTTTGATGCACTTGAGTACAAGGTTTGCTGGTTGGCATTGTACTTGTGTTTGTCTTCAACACTGGGAATTTTTCCCTCTCTCACAGGAACACATAGATTATGATCTCGTGCAAAGTACCAATCCAGCATTCAACAAAGCTGTGGTCCGTGTCAACATCTTTCGTCAACATCGACAAACTATACAAGTACATTCTTACTCGTTATTTCTCTTGCTAACCAAGCTATCCCTTTGGCAGTACATCCAACCTCAAGATCATGCAAAGCTTGCGCAGGCTGAGTTACTTATTATCGACGAGGCCGCAGCGATACCGCTTCCTATGGTAAAAGCATTGCTAGGGCCATACTTGGTGTTCATGTGCTCTACAGTTAACGGGTACCGTGTAAATGTCCTGTTAGATGACTTATCCTGATTATATCTGATGCAGATATGAAGGGACTGGCCGTTCCTTGTCACTAAAATTAATCCAACAGCTCCGTAGTCAAGGAAAGAGTGAATCTGCTCCTTCAGGTGAACTAGTACTTTCTTCTCTGCGAAAGCATACAGTTTTTTACGTGGAACCTTTACAGGTAGAGTTTTCCGCGAGGTTGAGCTGGCCGAGCCCATCAGGTATGGAGCTGGCGATCCTATTGAAGGGTGGCTGCACGAGCTTCTTTGTCTGAATGCTGCCGATCATATTCCAAGTATCGAAGGAAGGTAGGATCAAAACTGCTAGAAACCAGTAAGTGCCATAACTGATTTTTTTATTTTTTTATACAGGTTGCCGCCTCCTAGTGAATGCCGGCTTTTCTATGTCAACCGGGATACTTTGTTTTCCTATCATAAAGCGAGCGAGCTCTTTTTGCAAGTAAGCTATCATGTTCTAAAGAAGTAGTCTAATCTTTTTGTAACAGAGAATGATGGCCCTATACGTGGCTTCGCACTACAAAAACACACCAAATGACTTGCAGCTCTTGTCTGATGCGCCTGCACATCATCTGTTCGTTCTTCTTGGTAACGCTTCCGTGATTTGTACAAAGCTCACACTTGTTGCAGGGCCTGTTGATGAGACACAAAACACATTTCCTGATATTTTGTGCGTTATTCAGGTAAGCACTGTTGTATATCGTAAGTTTTTTTCTAACCATCACTGCGACTTAAGGTTTGCTTAGAAGGAAAAATATCGAGAAAATCCGCCTTGAAAAGCCTAAGCGATGGCTCGTCTCCTTCGGGAGATCAAATACCCTGGAAAGTTTCTCAACAGTTTCAAGACTCGGAGTTCCCGAGCCTGTCTGGTGCTAGGATTGTGCGAATTGCAGTCCATCCAAACTTGATAAAGGTAACTCTATTTTCTCATTTTGGCGCTTAAAAATTGGATGGTACTTAGGCCGGCTATGGTTCTGCGGCTGTCAACCTTCTAGTCCGGTAAAGATTAATCGAAGAAAATTAAATTTGTCTGATATGGATTGCAGGTATTACGAGGGCCAGTTTACCGATTTGGAAGAAGAGGACGATGAAGATGATGTGGTTCACAAACACCCTGTGAAAGTTGCTGAAGCTGCTGCTGAGGTTTGAGTTTCATAGTTTTGGAATATGGACGGACAGTTTTCTCTTCAGATCTCACTTTTGGAGGAACAAATCAAACCAAGAGCAAATCTTCCGCCGTTGCTAGTTGGTCTACATGAAAGAAACGCGGAAAAAGTCCATTATGTGGGTGTATCATATGGCCTCACACAACAACTGCACAATTTCTGGAAAAAGCTCAAATTTGTGCCTGTTTATGTCTCACAAATTCCGGTGAGCTTTTGAAGCACTGTCTGTCTGCCAACTGAACCTTTATACTGCAGAGTGCCATAACCGGAGAACATAGCTGTGTGGTCTTAAGGCCAACAGAAATTGGCGAAGTGGATACCGCAACGGCAGAGCAAGGAAGCTGGGTTAGACCTTTCAATGAAGGTAGTATTTTACTGCACAGACCTTTCACGATACTAGCATGTTTTGCAGATTTCTCCCGGAGGTTTATATCGCTGTTGGGCTCATCCTTTCGATCGTTCAGTCCTGGACTCGCTCTAAGGTACGTTTCCAGCAAATGACTGCGTGTTATCTGACTTCTCGCCTTACTAGCGTCTTGAAACCTCAAATTGATTTCGATGAAGAATCTCAGGAGACAATATCGACCGAAGGCATCTTGGGAGGCAAAAATGCACTCCTAACACCCTATGACATGAAACGATTAGAGTCATATGCAAATAACCTCGCTGACTACCATCTGGTACGTGTGTTTGTTATCTCTTCCTGTTGTGGTGTTAAGTTTCCCTGCAGATAATCGATTTAGTTCCAACGATTTCTCGACTGTATTTTATGAGAACCATACCCGTAACTTTATCTGCTTGTCAAGCTGCCATATTGCTATGCATGGGTCTCCAGCAACACGATATAAGTTTTGTGGAGGTTTGTTCTTCCTTTCTTTTGAACCCGAGGCTGTCTCTAAGCCATGGAGAATTTTGTTTACCAGAGCGCATTGGATCTTCCTCGCAATCAAGTCTTGGCTTTGTTTAATAAGAGTGTGCGAAAGTTGCACGGCCAGCTACACAAAGCCGCTGCAAAAGAGATCGAGGAGACACTACCTCGGTTAAGAGAGGTAGTCGTGAGGTATTACCAAAAGTTTCTTTACTAACGTTGTTATTTACAAAGGTGGTGATGAATCCCCACGCAGTCTCGGTGGACGAAGATCTAGAGGAAGCAGCAGCCAAAGTCAAGGTTTGGTTCTCTATAGTAATCCTGTCTTCTGTTTTTGACGAGTGGAGTGTTACAGGCTGACCAAAAGGAGAAAGTGAGCTCGATGCTGAGTCCTGAATCTCTCCAACACTTTGCAATCGGTGGGAACGATGTTGATTTCGAGGCAGCGCTGGGTGGAAAAGTTCCAAAGAGTGGCCTTGTGAGCGTCAAGAGCAGCGAGAACAAGGGCGACGCGAAGAAAAGGCCGCCTCAAAACAAGCAGCTAAAGAACAAGTCGTCCAAGAAGTCGAGGCAGTGATTGCAAGTTGAACACAAATCAAGGGAAAGTTCATGACGGAAATCCTGTTGGGAGCAAAAGTTTGCAGCACGAGGATAGACAAAGAAGAATACGGGCTAACAGTACCGCTGCCTAGACACACGACGACTTCAGATAGACATCTGAAAGCTAAGCGTATATTTGGTACTTCGCTTGTGACTTTCCCAGGTTTCCAGTACCCGTGTCGCCAGCCAGATTGACTGTGAGCAGGCATTATTAGCGCAAGCCGTCATGCAACCGATACGTTCCCTGAGAAGAGACTCCAGCAAATTCTCATATCTCTTTCACTCCATAGAACTTTTTGAAGGCGTTGCGAGAGGTGCTCTTCAAATACGGATATGCCAGTCAAGTTTGAGGACAGAAGGAGCTATCCTTGGAATGTGCAGATAGTAATATGCTGATCTTCTTGCAACCTGTCAGATCAAGCCTCCTTAGCAAAGGAAGCTTTGCAACACCATCGTATCACATCCAAATTATAATTTCAGATCTCTCAACGTTGTCTATGTTTCCATCCATTCTGGTAGCTGCCCAACATCCTTATTCGCAGGGAACGCATGCATGGCAGCTAGATCTAGAGAGACATCTGGAAGATGTTGATATTCCTCAAGCGATAGTTTTTCAAGTCGTAGGAACCTGCGATCCAGATAACACTTCTCAGTGATGGGCACTCCAATATCGTTACTCCGTTGCAGTAAGATAAGAGAAACTTTCTCTAGCTTTGGAAAGAACGAGGTGGAGAGGTCCTTCAAGGAGTGACAGCTACCGATGTTGAGGACCGCCGTGGTTGGCAGCCGAATCAAGTTTGGGCAATTCCAAAGGGAGAGGCCTTGTCACCATGGGAAACGTTTCTTCTGTTAAAGAAGGAAGCTCCTCAAGGTGATACGTACCTATAAGCAAATTTTCCAAATTCTCCATGCAGGAGGTGACCTTAAACTCACTTTCCCCAAACCCTCCCACTTCCATAACCTCAGAAATCTGCTCCAGTCCCGTCCCACAGTGTCAATCTTTTAAGGTTGGTCAACCGTTGAAGACCGTGTTAGTAACCAGTTAATTTCCACTTCTTCAAATGTGAGAGTTTGCTTATACTTGCAGGTAGCTCCACGGCCAGCGTTGTCTCAATAATCAACACCTCCAACTTTGTGAAGGCCTGAAACATCCCATCGAGATGCTTGTTCAAGCTTCCGGTTTAAGCATTTCTTATGTTTGAAAAGTTGATGATGCAGCAGCGTAGCATTGCTGAATTGTTCAGCCCATTAAGGTATCCCAGCTTGGTGAGTTTGAGCAATGCATCGACAGGGAAATGCTCTAGCTTGTGACAACCTGTCAAGTCCAGATTTGGTCATCTTTCCGAGTGAACCTGGAATGCTTTCGAGTGATTCATCCCAGGACAAATCCAGGGTCTCTAAATTCTTGAATGCTATGTGGTCAGTGAATTTAAGGCAAAGTACCTTCAAGCTTTTGAAAAGAGAGAGGCTTGGCAATGCAGTGAGAGCGGGATTTTGATCCAGGGGCAAGTGGTGTTGGAGACTCTGATCCTGTTCTTCTGTAGAAAGATGTCTTTAGAAATGCTACATAAGAACAGAGAAATCTTGCTGTAATTACTCATTAAGGCGTCCCCGCATCTCTCTGCCACCACCCAGCCTTGAAATAACACTTGGGGCCTGCATCATGAATCCTGTACTTCTTACACCGTGCACCTGAATAAGAATAATTTTCTTCAGTGATAAGTGCGTGATTCTTGAGCCTCACCTCCTCTGCTGTGTTTTTCCGACATTTGAATAGATCCCAAAATCCAATTCGCCAGTCTTCTGCATACGCAGCAAAGAAGAGAGAGTGCTGCTGGATGCCAAGAGGTAACAATGCATCGTACCCCATTTTGAGTCGCTGCAGTACCTGTTGTTCCTCATCAAGAGTTGTTAATCGCTGGGTTCGCTTTGAGCATAGTCTCAATCTTGTGTGCCTGCCATTCTTCTGCCAATTACCTTTAAGACCAGTGGAAGGCCCCCACACACCTGCTCCACTACTACACTACTGACCCTGAACTTGACCATGTTTTGGGTTTGGAAATGCGTGTTCTTACATGATACAAAAATATAAATGCCATCTAAACATTATCATATCATTACCATCATCATCATAAGTGCAGAGAGATTGAAACAAGATGGTGTTTAACATGAGGCTGCAATGAAGAGCAGACTTGGGCAAGCCCAATCACCTCGTTGACAACTGCAGAGACAAGCGCACCGAGATTGGACATAACTGCAAGCTCTGTATTTTGCTCATGCCGCCTCTCTTCTGTATCCATAATTTCATGCAGATTAGGCAACCCGTTTGCGCGTTCGTGCAATACGTGTTACAATATTCGGATTGAAAAATGATGGTTGCGGCGTCGGTGGGAAACGTATCTAGCTGGTCACCCTCTAGGGCGTCGAGACGATGACATTGTAGAGGTTCGGAGCTGGGCTGCGGCGCGAGCAGGAGTCGCGAAACACAGCATCCACGCCAAAGTGCACCAAAAGCCTCATTGATCTCATGTCCACTGCGTCTGTACATTAGAAATCACAAAGGTTTGCTACAGTCAAATACCTCTGGATTTCTCCACGGGTGTGGAATTTTTTAGGAGGGTGGTGGTGTTTGCCACATTGAAATGTCTCTAACAAGTTCCCTCATTTGTGTGATGAGTTGCTTGAGAACATCGTTCTTCCTTACAATCTCCTGGAAATGCTGCTCAGTCCATCAAGAGAAAAAGAGAGCTTTTGCTTGGCTCACCTCTCGAAGCTCCACCGTTTGCTTCTGGAGCCTATCAATCTCCGCTTGATCCACTGCCTTCTCCACAGTGGAATCCACATCCAAGCTCATCATCTAAGGGCAAAGAAGAGAATTTGTCAGAGCTTCCAAGGATAAATGTTGATCAGAGTTCTCGAGAGCACAAAATGGGAGTTTCTCTGAGCTTGGAAGGGAAGAATGTGGTACCTGAGGATGGTTGAAGATCGCAGCGACGATTCCTCTCAGGGCAGTCGTCGCCGCCTTGTATTTCTGCCGCGCATCGTCCACCGCCGCCCATCCGGCCTCTTCCTTGCCGCCGCCTTCCCAGAGCGCCGGATTGCTAAGAACCTCATTGAGAGAGTTGAGGATCTGGTGCGCCGATTGCACTGCGATTTCCAGCTGCTTCTGCCCCTCGATCGCCATCGCCTTGAGCTTGGTTTCCTCCATCGTCAAGAGCCCTAAAGATGACGTGGCGGAAGTCCTAATGACGTGGCAATGTGGTAGCAGTGACGTGGCAGGCGGGCCAAGATTTATAATATTCCCATTCTTTGCTCTTCCAGTCTTTGAATGGCGTTCGCGGCTTCGCAATAATCTAGTTCTTTCGGGCGCTACCGCCGAGAAAATAGGTTTCGATCGATCGGCTCCCATGGAAGATCCTTGCGCCGCTTCTCGGCCCAGCGCTAGCAATGGCGGCATCGAGAGCAGCTCCGTGCTCTTCGAGAAGGCCGTGCCGGTGAGGATCAAGTCCCCCTCCGAGGATCGCCTAGTGGAGCTCACGGTCCGGATTATTATGGGCCTCAGCAAGCATCGCCGATCCACAAAGGTAAGAGTTGGATTTCTAGTCCGCAGCTCATCGAGGGAATTTGTCGTGTAGGTTTTGCAAATCCAGATCACAAACGAGCTCGATCCCTTCTTCTTGTACTCACTGGAAGTGAATGAGGACGATTTCCAGGGACTCAAGGTGGAGCAGTGCATTCTAGTGGATTTTGGGACGTTTCCCCACAAATTCATAGAGCTACTCGAGCATTGTATCAGAGCTGGTGCTGGCGAGGCGCCAAGGTTTTTCGTCCCCCAGTTTTTTCTTTATGCTATGTCAAATGTGGATCATCAAACAGGTTCTTGGCGATACTTAACGTTCGCACCGGGGACTCGACGTTTAGTGTGGTGGAAACGAACCAATTCAAGCATCTCAGCCATCTCTCCCTGTGCTTTAGACAAGGAAATGATAGTACAATCAAGAGCTACCTTGCCGGACGACTTGCCGAGTACAAGGTAAGGCTGCCTTTTCTGTATGATTTTAGCTGGGCCTCGTTGTTTCGAGCAGGGTGCAAACGTTGATCTTCATGAAAAGCTACGAAGAACTCTAGAATCGTTAGAGAGTTCTCTTCAAGATGTTGGAGAGCTCCGCAGGTGAGCAAGACACTTGATCGTTCCTTTCTCGGGTGTTAAGGGTGACGTTTTGCATGCAGTGAACTTGCCGATTCCAACGAGATGCAATCACGTTCCATTAGTGAGCTCCAAGTAAAGCACGCAAGGGAGTTGGCTCGCGAGAGAGAAAAGGTTGGAGGTGTTTAAAGCATGCCTATCGTTGTTAATGTTTCCTTTTTCTCGTAGTCTTTGCAAGAGTGCCTGGAAATGAAAGGGCGGCTGGAACGCGAAAAGGCTGAAATGGAATACCGACTGATTCAAAAAGCCGGACAACACGAGAACCAAGTTGTAGATCTGGATAAACAGGTGACGCAACAAATCTTGTCGAATTTTGACGTCTTCATTTCGTGAGTGCGTATGTCCAGGTCAGGGAGCTGACTTCGACAAGGCATGGCCTGGAAATAACAATAGCGGAGCTGAAAACAAAGCTAGAACTTATGCACAAGGAGTTGCAAGAAAGGCAACAGGTTTGTGAAGTGGTATAGCACATCAAATCCATGACTACTTTCCTTTTTAAATCTGTTGCCGCAGGAGTGCGATACCTTACGTACGAGGAACAAAAGCGTGGATAAAGAACTCCAAGTCTCGTCAAAGCAGCTGAATGATAACCTGATTCGTCTGGCAGCTTTGGAGCAGGAAGTACGCTGAACTGGTGTCTCTCTTTTACCGAAACAGACAGTGAATTGAGTTTCTCGATGTGTTGTAGGTCCAAAGCAAAAGCGAGCTGATCGGCAACATATCGGGCCAGCTCGAGAGTATCACTATAACTAGGTTCGTCGTAGTGTCCTGGTGTTTTGGAATGCGAGGCTAAAATTTTTGTGGATGGCTCTACAGGGCGGCGCTAGAGTCATCGTTGAAAGATGCACAGGCTGCCGCGGAGAAAGCCGAGGAGAAGGCCGCGGCCCGCGTTGCCGAGGCAAACAAGGCAAACCAGACGATAGAGAAGCTCCAGGCCGAGATAAAGTCGAGCAAGGCAAAGTTGAAGCTGAAAACGCAGGTTACAGCACAACAGGAGACGCTACTTCAGGAGCGACAGGCAACAGTCGAGAAGAATGTCGCCGAGATTGCTGCTCTCAAGCAGGAAATCGCAGCTCTAAAGCTAGAGATTGAAGCATCAAAGAGAAAGGTAACTCTACAATATAGCTATAGCTTCCTTTCTTTTGCTGAGGTGAGATCTTCGTACCTACACAGGAAGCGGATCTCCAGAAGAAAATGGAGGACTCCCAGGAATCTCTCAAGTCGAACCAGCAGATGATCCAGTAAGCTTGCTCGCTAGAGCTATCTGTGGATTGATCTTGTGCTTTTTCTCCAGGTGGCTGAATCAGCAACTCACTGATGCACAGCTTGGAAAGTACGCCAAGTACAGCACTACCAGCCGAGCTCTCTCACTCTCCTCGGCAATCTCCTCGACTCCATCACCAAGAGGTCCTCTCCTCCCGTCCAACACCCACAATCTCCTCCAGCTCAAGCCATCGATATCAGCGACGAGCATCACCTCCAAATCTCCAAGCTCGGCAGTAGCAAAGGCAGTCACAGGTGATGGTGGTGGTGGTGGTGGTGGTAGTGGTAGCAGCATTCCAGGATTCACGAGCAAAGTTACTTTCAAGCCACCGCTCGCCGAGCTCAATGCCAAGGCCGAGAATTTGTGCAAGGAGAGGAAGTTTTTCACTCTGGAGCTGACGAGAAATGGTCTCCCAAAGCCGCAGCTCTCATTCGCGAGCCCAGCAGTGGGAGATCTTCCAAGCAGAGACAGGGAATTGGACGAGCAAAGGGGAGAGAAGAAGAGCTCTATCCGGCTGGGCTCTCCAATGGCTGCTTAAGTTAGAAATCCACAGCGTGAGCAGAGTTACTGGGCATTAGGGTTTACACGAGAGTGGTAGTAGAAAGAAAGGTAGGGGATATGGCTGGATGAGAATGGAGGCGTCGCAGCAATCAGGGATTGTGGAAGGCGCTGTGGATTTGTGGCCAGAGCTGTCGCACTGCTGCCGAGCTTGAGGCGGCGCCAGATTCGTCGGCCGTGGGTGTGGCATCGAGCTCCAGGGTTTCTAGGTTGGTTCCATTAGCAGTAGATTGCTACATTTTTCTCGCATTCAGCACGACACGATCGAGTTTGGACAGCTTGGGAAGTGGCTTGCCTGCATTCTCTCTGTGTGGTGAGTGAAGTGGGATTTCTCTCAAAGTTTAAGGGAAAAAAAGAGGAAGAGAGAGAGAGAGAGAGAGAGAGAGCGCCCCGGGAAGAGAAGAGAGAGTAGAATTCTTCTAAAAGTATGCCAAGCCCGAGTAAGAAGCCTCCGACCAATGTGAAGCCTGTTCCAGGGACCATAGTGTGGGTGAGGCGGAGGAATGGCTCCTGGTGGCCTGGACGAATTATTAGTAAGAAGGAGCTCTTAGCATCGAATGTTATGTCTCCGAGATCTGGAACTCCGGTTAAGCTTCTTGGTCGAGACGATGCAAGTGTGTAAGTTCCTTGTCTGGTTCTTTTTGTATCTCTCTCACTCTCGTGTTCTTTGTTTGTTTTTGGTGCTAGTCTTTTTGCGATTGCTTGCTCTCTTTTGATTCTCCGATGCTCGGGTTCTAAATCTCGTTTGGTTTTGTTTTTCTTACAGGGATTGGTACAATATTGAGAAGTCGAAGAGAGTGAAGCCGTTCAGATGCGGGGAGTTTGATGACTGCATCGAGAAAGCTCAGGCAATGGCGGGACAGTCGAAGAGGAGGGAAAAGTATGCTCGCAGGGAAGACGCAATCGTAGATGCTATAGAGCTCGAGAAGGAACAGATCGAGCAGCTGAAGACCGCGTACGTTGGCACAGGCGGGAAGAAATCAAAACTCAAAGGCAAGCAGAAGAGCGTAGATGGTGGTGGAGATCAACCAAAGAAGGGAAATGGTGATACGAGCGGGGTCAATCGCAAAGTCTCCAAGAAAAAGGCACAAACTGCCAAGGACCGGGAAACCTCGGATTTGGAGGATGGAGCGGCATTACTTCCGAGAATGCGTGGATTACAAGACTTGGTATCCGCCGGTACTTCGTCCAAAATCACAACTGTGGAAGGACTGGATGGCTCTTCCGAGGTCGAGGCACCACCTTTGGACGAAAGCATGCAGCAGACGGTCCCAGATCAAGTCAAGGCATTAAAGCGAAAGCGGTCATCCGGACGAGCAGAAGAAGCTCCGTCCAAAAGGCGCGACAGGAAAAGACCGATTTTACAGGTTTTGGAGACGCTGGAGCGGGACAATGAGAATCAGGATGATCCGGCAGTGAAAGCTGAAGGGGTTTGCGAAGGCGAAGACAAGCTCTCGGACGAGTGTGAGTCGACGCAAGAGACTTTGCAGCTAGTGTCATCAGCTCAGGATAAACCCGCAGCGCATTTTCTCGATGCTCACAGCGCCAGTTACAACAGCAAGGACGTAGCAGTGGTGGCATGCGAGGGAACGACGCTGCCGTCTCATACATCTGCTTCTCCAACGGGAATTACACAGGAGGAAAAGCCTCCTGTGAAAAAGGAGAAGGGGAGCAAGAAGAAGGCGTCGATGCCACCAAGGACGTTGGCATCCCTTGTCGTGGACAGTGCTGGAGATGTCCAGAAGGTGACAAAGCAGAGGAAAGGGGAGCCGAATTCTTCACAGCCGACTGCCTCCGTCTCGCGGTTTGACGTCGGCACAGCATCGGCATGTCGTAGTGGAAAAGGCAAACTCAAAGTGGAGGCCGAGGATACTGTAACCGCGTGCTGTCCATCTGATGATCAAAAGGAGAACTGGAAAGAAGGTACATTGTGTTCTTTCTTTTTGTTTTTCTTATGCCTGGTCCTTTGGCTTGCAGGATTCGTACATCCACGAACTCGGTATGAGAAGCAACCCGTGCCCGTGGTTTCGCTCAGCAGTACAATTACTGGAAAGACAGTCTGCGGATACCCCGTGTCCGTGGAAGTTGTGGAGGGGATACTGGGGACGAGGAAGAAAAGGTTGAAGAACTACAGTGGCGAGCTCGCAACCTCTCCAAAGCCTTGGCAGACGGCAAAGCGAACGGCCCGGCAGAGAACTCCACGCTCGGAGATTCTAGCGACGAGCGACGACGATTACACCACCAAAGTTCCAGGCACCGGCAAGAAGAGATCCAAGGAGGCACTGTCGAAGAAGCTCCTCAAGAAGGCAGTCCTGGCCTCGAAGAAAATCCGGACTTTGGCATCGATCTCGGAGGAGAAGAGGAGGCAGCCGGAGAATGGGTTTGGGTTCTTGAGCTCAAAAGCTCCACCGAAGTGGCCAGTGGCGACGCTGGTTCCCGTCAGTGTGGCTTTGAATCGACTCCGAGGGGTGGTGTGTTCCTGACGAGACGATACGGGGATTCTCTACATCAAGGAAGACGAAGGCGATGAAGAAGAAAAGTTCTTGTCATCGATGGAGAGAGAGACGAAAGAGGGGTTTATCTTCTCCTCGTCCGTCGAGGGAGACGATGGAGAGGAAAGAAAGAGACGCGAAATTCTAGCTATGGTGGAAGGAGCAAACGTACATTTTTTGTAGAAGAGGAGCAATGTGGGTGGCGGGGGTTTAGGGTTTATGGCGAATGGGCTGCTGCTGGGGAGCTCCTTCTACCGCCCAGCGCTTCCAATCCCCAGCAGCAGCGGCAATCGTCGAAGATCCGGCACCAGGGCAGCACGAATCAGGGGATTGAAAGATGGTTTTGCCAGAGAATGGGGCGTGGGCGACGCGCCCGCCAAGGCCAGGTGTGGTTTCCCAGCGATTTCTTTCAAGAGCGTGGCATTGGAGAGGATTTTCAAGGCCAGGGAGATGGATTCCAGCAAGGAAGTGATGCTGTCAAGGTGGAATTTTGCGAAGGTGGAGCTGAGCTCGACGCTTCCAGCAGCGAGGAGTTTTGGACTCCAGCAAGCTCGGCCTTTTCTTCTCGGCGGGTTTGTGGCTGGCTTGGCGATGGCTGTCTCGACTATCATCTCTTCCTTGGCGAAGAGGGAGAGAGGAGTGGAAGTCCCAGCGCCAGCTCGAGCTTTCCAGGGGACAACGATGGAAAAACTGGACTTTGACGAGGAGCTACTACACGTAGAAGCGGTTGCTACTCCTGCGATGAGCGAGGAAGAGGAAGAAAGAATCGCGAAGATTCGAGACATGGCAAGGCAGGCAACGATGGATGAGAGTATTGGTGATGATGCTGCCGCTGAAGAGAGTTTACCTCCACCTCTTCGTCTTCCGGCCGCTGCTCGGGTACAGCTTTTGAGGAAGCAGAATGGAGACGAACTCGACAGGAACACGCCGAAGCCAGATTTCATGGATCTTTCTCGGCAACTCGAGCTCATTCGAGAATCAGACGCTTCTCAGCCAGGGTCGAGTGACAGTGATGGAGCGGTGATCAATGGTCACGGGACTGGAAACGAGCTAAGTGGGCGACATGAAACGAATCAACGGGCTGGTGGTGAAAGCACAAGGTTTATCACGACGTATGAAGAAGCTCGCGAAGTTCTTCGTTCTGATAAGCACGCAGAATTTCCAGGCAGCGATGGTGTGGTGATAAAGGGCCAGGAGACTGGAAAAGAGCTTAGTGGGAGGACTGAAGAGAAGCAAGAGGCTAGTGCTAAGAGAACGAGGTTTATCACGACGTATGAACAAGCTTGCGAAGTTCTTCGGTCCGATAAGCACGCGAAGGAAAACTCGCCACCTACATCGTCACTCTCTCAGACTTCGTCCTCGCCACAGCGTGCGCCGAGCTCACATACTCCACCAACAAGAGCCAGCAATGAAAATCTTTCGAGCGCTGAAGTTGCTGCTACACAACATATCTGGAAGAAGGACGAAGTGCTGCGGTGCATTCTGCTCAAGGCCCAGGAGAACGAGCGAAGAGGAAAACCTTTGTTCCATGGCATGCCTCCTGACTCGAAAGATATTCTTTTCAATGGACTGGAAACGGAGCTGGGGAGCGAAGCTGAACCGATCAAGGCCTGGATAATGGAGCGCATTTGTAAGTCGGATGTTTTGCTAGAATTTCGTGTTCTAACGTTTACCTCTTGTCCTTTACAGCTTCCGATGCACAAAAAAAACAGAAAAAATCTCAGGAGCAAGAGACTGACGATTCTTTACCGACGATTCCCGGGAGAAAGAAAGCTGAGTGGCAACCGGATTGTAATCCGCAAAAGACAGTCGTAACGGGCAGCAGTAGTGGCGCCGTGAAGCGTAAGCCAGTGAGCACCGATCAACCAGACCTGAAGAAAACGAAGCAGCAGAGTAACAAGAAGAAAGTGTGGCCGAAAGAGATACAACGGAGATATGACACGGAGACGGATCCTAAAGTGCGAAAGCTTCTGAAGGAGATTGGAAAGGACTTGGACGAATGGTTAACCGAAGAGGAGGTGGAAGAAACGCTGAGACTCTTTTTCCAGGGACCTGACGGGCAGCGTGAGCTCTTACGTCGCTGGCACGCGGAGCTGAAAGAAGAGGCGAGGAAGCAGGGTGAAACTCTTGGCGACGAGGAGATGAAACGCTTTGAGAAGATGCAAGAGAAGTATAAAACGCAGTCACTACAAAGTCTGGCCAGCAAGTACCGCGATTCAAAACCTTCCAAGGCGGATACTCTCTGGTGGCATCAGTTGAGATATGTTGCGGTAAGTTGCATGATTATTTTTTTATTCCTTTGGTTTCTGATACTCTCCCTTGCAGTGTATACTGCTGCAGAATGAGGAGCAGAAAGTTTCTCCTGGTCTCTATTCTATGAACATGGCGTTGGAAGGCGATTCCAGAGAGAAGCTACATGTGGTTGGATTCGAAGATCATAACGAGGCACTCAACTTTTGCCGCACTCTTGTACCTGAGATCAACAAGCTTGGAGGAGCCACTGGTGCTCGAGTGATTCCATTCGAACCAAAGGTAAGGAATTCTTTGCTTTTCTTTGTTCGAACGATTCGATTTATTTGCTTTTATGGCTTGTACAGGAACTCCTTCGCGAAGCAAGCGAGTCTGGATTCCAGGTGACAGTGCTCAAGAAGGGCCATGTTGAAAACTACGCAGGAAAACCGCTTGAAGAGGTAGAGTATAGAATTCTCGAGATTGGGAGGGATGTTTACGTGCAGGAGAAGCTCCGGGAACGATCCATTGACGTAAAGTCGATGATGAAAGACCTTTGGAGCGACGATTTTTAAAACAAATGTAAGCTTTTACTGAGAGATCTTTGTACTATTTAGTGACAAGTGGTCAATGTAAAATAATGAGCTTTCGTGAGCTCGTGTAACTCTTTCTTGTGTGTCTGATTTTCTATTTTGACTCAGGCAGCAGTACTGTGACAATTCAATGGTTGGCTCTTTCTCTTTTTCTTTGTCTATCCTCATGCTGCTGTGCTATTGCCTCTGGCAACTGCTGGCAGCACAGTGCGCTAGTGCTGCTAGAGATCAACAATATGGCAGCAATTAACGCTGCCAAGTGTTGTTGTATGCAAGAAGCTGGGATTTACAAGTCTTACATGCTGGAAGTTGGAGGCGAAATTGGGGTGCTTGTGGAGGTCACGTCTGGTGGACTTAAGAGTGTTGGTGTTGGATAGGGGGAATTGGACGTGGAACGAAGTGTCATCCTTCCTAACCAGGAGAATATTAAGGGCGTGCTGCACACTACTGACTTTGGCTCCCAACAGGCATGAATTTTCCCTTGATGAACTGTGAGGTGATATTGGCAAAACTTGGCTTTCCTGCCACAACATCGAGAGGAGATGATGGGAAGAACTTGGTGCTGCTTTGCTTGCCTGGTCGACTTTCAAGTATAAGCATTAATAATGCCGTGGTCTCGTCCACTTGGAAGTGTAGCTGGTTCAATGAGAGCCTCATGAAGTAACAGACCGTCTTTGGATGACAAGTGTTGGCTGGTTAGCTGCTGGAAGGCCGGTACCACAGTTTGAAAGGTTCTAGGACAAGAACTTGACGACCATGCGTTCCATTGTCCTTCCACTGTTCGGTTCCAAGGTTCGCGGTGGAAAGTTCTTGAGCATCTACGAACATGGAGCGGGTTGTATCAGACTTGCTGAGGCCCCCCGTAAGCAGCAAGTAGATTGGAGTCCACGGAGTAGGAGCTGGAAAAACACTCTTGGCCAAACGAGTACCAAGTCAATGATGAGAGAAGCCAGGCCTCACGGCCTACTGCTCTATAGAGAGTGAGAACACTCCCAGAAGGGATGGATCTCACACAGGATGAGAAAGAAAACTAAGAAAGCCCTAAACTGAAGGAATGCGACTCAGGCTCTAACACTCCCCCTCAATGGTACACCTGGATCTTTATCACCAGCGTGACCACTGCCGCCCACCTAGCTGGAGCCCTGTGAGGACAAGTCGCTTCTTGATGTTTCCAGAAAACAATAGGTGGAAGAGCCTTAGTAAATATATTAGCAACTTGGTCCTCAATTGCCACATACTTAAATGTTACTTGTGTGGTATTTTATTTGTATATGCTTTGTCCTTCCTGGCGTGATATCGTGGATTCTCTAAAAGAGCAATCACTGATTGATTATCTGAGATTAGAGCAATATCTAGAATTTTTTTTGGCACTACCAGTGCCATAGACTCTAGGACAGGATGGCGTCGTCTTCTTCCTCCAGAGACATGGAGCAGTTCAATGGGGCGAATTTCTTTGCTTGGAAAGAATGTGCACAGTTTTGGTATATAAGGTGGGGACTCTAGCCTGTGGTATCTAGATTGAGAAAATGTCCATATGATGACATAGGTCCATTGGAAAGATCTGGATGCTAGGGCAAATGGAGCATTACGCAGAGGACTCAGCCCTCTCTACAGTGTCTACGTGAATGTGGAGAATTGAGAAGTCAATTTGTGAAATTATGGGAGTGGACTTGCAAGAAGATGTGGACATGATTCTTCGTCGCAGTGAGTTATACAGCCTAGAGTAGCAGCCACACGAGTACATGCAAGATTACATCACTAGGCTTCAGCACAAAGTGGTGGAGATTCAACTGCTGGATCCAGAAGCTGCTGTGATAGATCAAGAGTTTAATTCAGTTCTGTTTAAGGGGCTTGCAATTGAGCTCATCCAGCATGAGAAAACCGTTATAAATGAAGGCAATGCTGCTGAGTAGGATGGGATTGCCAAGCAAGCACAAGCAGGGTGCTCTTCTGTCTTTAATCGACTTGGAAATAAGCACTCCAACAGCACCGAGGAAAAGCCAGCCACCAAGCAAGAATTCAATTTGAAGTGTGGGACGTGTTCAAAGCGTGGGCACCTGAGCAGGGATTGTCCAGTGAAGAAGCATCATCATGAGACAAAATTGAAAGCTGAGTGTGGATCTTCCATAGATGCAGCACCACATTTTAAAAGTCGACGCCGAGATGATGGTGATGAGGAAGACTCTTCTGCTGCGGCCAATGGCTTGTCATGGATGACTTGAGGAGTAGAGGTGGATACCACAAGCCGAACTTGTGTCCCAGTTGGTGAACACTTGTGTCAGGGGGAGTGTCACTCCCGAACACTCCCACCAGAGTTGAACGCCCCATGATGCTGCTTTCCCATGATGCATGGCTCGCATAATGGCATTGAAAAAGATGTGATGGCCAAGCCATCAACCACGTGGTCTTGCTGCAACTGCTGGATCGTCTGACGATGCCAAGTTTGAATATCTGCAGCTCCCCCTGAAGATGAACTCGCAGTAGCCACTGTCATCATAGCTAGCAGCTTCCCTGGAACACAAACCTCGCAATCCATCCGGAACAGTCGTCCTATCTTGCTTGCTGAAGCCACATGTCCAACCTCTGGATGTGTGATCTTAACACAATCACCACAAAACTCCAAGTTGAATCCTTGCTCCATCATTTGTCCGAGGGACACCAAGGAATGTTTAGCCTTCAGGATGTACCACATGTGCTTGACTGGAACCACCAAGCCTGTGGGTAGACGCACTTCAATCATGCCCACACCTTCAACTGGTAACAAGCTGTTATCTGTGGCCGGTGCATTTCCTCATCTCCAAAAATAGCTCACAGTCAAAAGTTGAGTGATTCGTTGCTGCCAAATCCAACCAAAGAACACATCCATCTCTACTCCTTGAGTCATCCATGACAAGCCATTGGCCATAGCGGAAGAGTCTTCATCGTCACCATCATCTCAGCATCAACTTTTAAAATGTGGTGTTGCACCAGAGGAAGATCCATGCTCAGCTTTCAATTTTGTCTCACAATGATGCTTCTTCACTGGACAATCCCTGCTCAAGTGCCCACGCTTTGAACACATCCCACACTTCAAATTGAATTCTTGCTTGGTAGCTGGCTTTTCCTCGGTGCTGTTGGAGTGCTTATTTCCAAGTCGATTAAAGATAGAGGAGCACCCTGCTTGTGCTTGCTTGGCAATCCCATCCTGCTCAGCAGCATTGCCTTCACCTATAACGGTTTTCTCATACTGGATGAGCTCAGCAAAAATCTGCTGCTGTGTAATGTCGGGAATCTTCTTGATATAATGAAGATGAAACTTCATAGCACAAGTTGCAAGCCCCTTAAACAGAACTGCATTAAACTCTTGATCTGTCACAGCAGCTTCTGGATCTAGTAGTCGAATCTCCACCACTTTGTGCTGAAGCCTGGTGATGTAATCTTGCACACACTCATGTGGCTGCTGCTCTAGGCTGTATAGCTCACTGCAACGAAGAATCACGTCCACATCTTCTTGCAAGTCCACTCCCATAATTTCACAAATTGACTTCCAATTCTCAGTAGAACTCTTCTCCACATTCACGTAGACACTGTAGAGAGGGCCGAGTCCTCCACCTAACGCTCCATTTGCCCTAGCATCCAGATCTTTCCACTTGTTGTATGGATCTGTGTCATCATCATCCTTAGACGGGCATTTTCTCGATCTAGATATCATAGGCCAAAGTCCCCAACTCATAAACCAGAACTGTACACGTTCTTTCCAAGCAAGGAAATTCGTCCCATCGAACTGCTTTATATGTCTCTAGAGGAAGAAGACAACGCCATCCTGTCCTAGAGTCTATGGCACTTATGGCACTGGTTGTGCCAAAAACATTTTAACCTATTGCTCTAATACCATGATGAGAGAAGCCAGGCCTCACAGTGAGAACACTCCCAGAAAAATCCCCTGGGATGGATCTCACACAGGATGAGAAAGAACTAAAAAAGCCCTAAACTGAAGGAATGCGATGGCTGTACGCCACGTGGCTCTAACAGTCAAGGCACATTTCGATGGCTAACATTCGGTCAGTCATGGCAGGTACATTTCTGTTTACAGCTTCATGCAAATGCTAACTTTACAAATAAATCAAAATAGAAGGTCAGATCGGCAACAAAACACTGAGGAATGTCTGGAACTTTTGGATCTGTTTGATGTGGTGCAAGAGGTTGGAAGCAAAATCTTTGTCACCACCAGAATACTTGATGTGCTCAACAGTAGAGGTGCAATTAAAATGAAGATGGGAAAGACAGCTTGAAATTGTTCAGTCCACCCATTATCAAATAAAAAATATGCTCAAAATCAAATAATCAAGGCAGTTGTGGATAAATGTGGAGGCCTCTTGAAGGTATTGGCAGAAGACAGGGAGACAAGATGAGAAAAACAGGTATTCCAGCGGATCAAACTGGGGTTACAATGCATTTACCTCTTGTCATCCAGCACTTTCTTTTTCTTTGCTGACTAATGGGGCCAACACAGCATGAATGTTCTGTAAAGGCTCAAGAATCACGCACTTATTACCGAAGAAGAAGATTATGCCTTTTGCTGGGGAAGAGGAGGTACAAGATTCACGATGCGTTGTTGGCTAATCTTGGAGCAAGAGGGCCTAAAGTGTTATTTAAGATCAAGATGCGGGGACACCTTCACGAGCAACTACATCAAGATTTAATTGGTGGGGGTGCCTCATCCTAAGAAGAACAGGGTCAAAGTTTCCAGCACCACTTGCCTGCTCCTGGATGAAAATGCTACACTGCCAAGCCTCTCTCCTTTCAAATGCTTGCAGGTTTTCTGTCTAGGTTGCATTGGAGCTCAAGAATTTAGGGACTTTGTATTTGTCTTCAAATTGGCTCCAAAGCATCTCTGGTTCATTAGGAAAGCTGACCAATCTGTCATATCTTGACTTGGGATACTGTGACGTCAAGTCTTTCCTTGTGGATGCATTGCTCAAACTCACTAAGCTGGGTCTACCTTAATGGAGGGTGGTCCAAGGACATGGGGACGTCCCAATGGGAAGCACCTCCAAAAAGTTTTATGGACCTGATGCAATCGATGGCGCTGGATTGATTCTCCCAGGCGTGAGCGTTGATCCTGTTCCACGATGTGGAGATCTCTCGAGATGGGGGTATCATCCAAAAACCTTAATTCCAGATCTCTCAATGACGCGAAGAACCATTCTGGTAAGCTGTGGGATCGGATTTTTTCAAGCCGTGGGAATCCAGTACGGGGCTGCAGGACCTTCACGCCGTCCAATTCCTAGAAGCAAGCCTCTTCTAAGTTTGCACTGTCTCTGTCGAATGTCCAGAAGACCTAGCTTACAGGCAGGAAGGCCTTCCGAGCTGATCACGACCAGACTGGAGATGCATGTAGGCAGTAAACATTAGAAAACAAAATCTGCAAACCATCATCCATGTCTTTATTCGGTTGAGCTTCTCACCGACGACTCTTTACCGACAATTTCCACCGGATTGTAATCCGCAAAAGACGGTCATAACGGGCAGTGCCGTCGTGAAGCGTACGTAGCAAGACCCAGCGGACGGAGACGGATCCTTCGACTGAAGTGGAGGTGGAAACGGGGTGAAACTCTTGGGGACGAGGAGATGGAAAACACAGTGACTACAAAGTCTGGCCAGCAAGTATCACGATTCAAAACCTTCCAAGCCGGATACTCTCTGGTGGCACACAATGCGATTTGTTGGGGTAAGCTGCATGGATTTTTTTAAAATTCTTTCCTTTTTTATGTAAATGTGCAGTGTGGATTCGAAGATCATAACGGGATGTTTACAAACAGAAGAATCTCCAGGAACGATCCATGGACGTAAATCGATGATGAAAGAAGCACTAATTTCTAAAAACAAGCGTAAGCACTGAGAAATCTTTGTACTATTTAGTGACAAGTGGTCCAAAGTGATGAGCTTTCGTGGTCTCGTGCAACTCTTTGTCGTGTGTCTGATTTCTTTTTGACTCAGGCAGCAGTACTGTGAGCCGATGACACACAACAGTTGAAAGGTCTGTTCTTTTTCTTTTTCTTTTTCTTCTCTGTTATCCTCGTGCTGCTGACTTTTGCTCCCAACAGGATTCCTCTCATGAACTTTCCCTTGACGAGCTGCGAGGTGATCTCGGCAAAACTTGGTTTTCTCTGCCAAAAAGTCGAGAGCGATGGTGAGAAGAACTTGGTGCTGCATTGCTTACCTGGTCAACTTTAAGTATCTTCACCCGCACGAGACCATAGTTTCGTGATCTCGTCCAGTGATAGTGCTTGAAAGTGTAGCCGGTTCTCAGCGAGCCTCCCAAGCGTCCGACCAGTCTCATGAAGTAATAGGCCGTCTTGGGGAGAGGAGTGTTGGCTATGGCGCTCGAAGTCAGCTGCTGGAAGACGATCTCGTTGTCCTTGAGAACTTCCGAGTGGCCTCCACAGTGAACATCACCTAGTTGGATTGGATCCACAGTTTGAGCTCGAGCAATTCACAGGAAGGAAAGGTACCTCCAAGGACGAGAACTTGACGACCATCTTGGGCAGCCTTCCAGCTCGCGAGCGCGTCGATCATTCGAATCTGTTCTTCGGTGTGAGGCTGGGCCGACCAGTGGCCTTTGAAATCCTCGAGACGATTCACTCTCTTGGCCGCGACGTTGGTGATCACGGGCTCGAGGAAGACGAGTGGAGCAGTGGCACACAAGAGCAGTGCAGAGACTCCATTGAAAATTCCTCCCGGAGACGAGAGAGAGTCGGAGATATCCTTCCATTGTTTGGTTCCAAGGTAGGCGTTCTCGTCATCCCTCTCGCGGTGGAAAGTTCGTGAGCCTCTGATATCCACAAACATAAGTCCGATTCCTCCAAGGACATGAAAGTGATACTCCTAGATCGACGAAAACATCATAAGTGCTCTTCTATCCATGAATCAATCGAGGTGGAGTTACCTTGTCAATGCTTTCCAGGCTCGAGAAATCTACATCCTCGTGAAGCTGTCGCTGGTACTCGAGATAAACGATCCATCCACAGCGAGCTATGAAAAACTCGACGCTGCTCTCGTCCCAATCCTCGGGAAGGTCTCCCCAGTTATCCCGGATCTCGTGATCGTCGAGAATCATGAGGTTTGGACAATTTGCCAGGCACTTCGCCGTTGGTGGATGGCTCCAAGTTTCTCGGTATGCCTCGCGGTAGAGCTCACAAATCTCTTCTCTCTTTTTCTCGCGGTGGAGTGGAGGAACGTCCGCGAGAATTGTCTTGGAGACTTGGAAACGGTCGAGCTCTGGTCCGCCAACTTCTGGCTCCACATCGGCATAGATCTAGATTGTGCATGAAAAATCGATGAAAACTTTAAAGGACAGGATAAAGAGATTTTTTTTTTTCTAGAAAGAAAAATCAGAGCGAAGAGAGCTTACTTGATCACCAAGATGGATGAGATAGTCAATCTTTCCAGCGCTCACACTCCTGTAGAGATGCGACCACAAATCCGAGTGGATTGGAATCGCCTTCTGTGTGATATAGACATTGTTGCAGCTGATGACGCCAAAGTTGACGTTATAGTTCGTAGATCCCGGAGTGCTCAAAGTCTTGAAACTTCCCGGGATGGAATAGAGGCAGCCCTTGAATTCCACCTTGTATCTCGTGCCAGGCTTGAGATTCGTAAAGTGAAACACTCCCGGCCTTCCAGCTCGAAACTCCTTCTCCAGCTGGGTAATCGACGAGCCCTCTTGGATTTGATCCTCCTCCTCCTTGACTGCCGTGAGAAAATCTCCATTCTCCGCGACGCTCTGCGCTTTCCTCGTGATCTTGTGGCTTCCCCAGCGCAGGATTGACGAGGCCCAGCTATGGTCTTTGCGGAGGGACGAGGATTTCTTCGATGGGTCCATGTCTTCCTCGACCGCCTCTAGCACAGCCGTAACGAAGGAATCGCGACTCGCCTCGATCAAAACCCGGGCGCTGTTGTGTGTGACTTTGCCAATCACGGGGCCAAGGACAAGAGCTGGCTGCTGGGCTCGATCAGTTCTTCGGTGCTGCCGCTGCGGCGGCTTGGAATTGCCCATGATCTTGTCCAGAGTTCCTGCGAATTTGATGCGAGCACTCAATCCAGTTCGAGATCCTGCCGAGCGCCTTGGATTGAGAGGATTGGAAGGATTTAAAGCGCCCAAATCCATAGGCACGCTCTGTGCTCTTTGGACGCAAAGAAACTTCTCCTTTCTTTTGTCGGCGTCGTCGACATTGTCCGCCATAGCTACCAAGAATCTGAAAGGCGGCTAGAAAATGTGGAGGATTTTAGGAGAACTTAGCTTGCTTGGGAGGACTCGGGACTGGTGGAATTGCTGCTGCATAGATGTTGTTTTGTACAAACATCATGGTGCCTTGTCCTTCGGCCCTGCAACGCATCTGGAATAAAAACTTTGGCTTGTTTAAAAATATAAAGTCTATGGGCCGTGCATTAAATTGGGAATTTGAAATTCAATTAAAGCTCCCTATGGTCTCTAATTTTTTTATTTTTCATTACCATTTTTAGTTTGCTTTATAGTGCAAAATATATCTAAAATATCCAGCATATTTTAGATTATTCTTTAATCTGAGATTTAAAGTTAAAATTCATACTTAGACTCTTTTCACCAAGGAGTTTGTCTTTATATGCAATTAGAATGGATTAGAAGATATGATAGAAAGATCAAAACTCACATTTAAAGTTTGGCTACTTTACTGCTTGATATTTACAACAACCTTTGATAAAGAATGAGGGTAAATCCTTGAGAATTTGATAATGTTTTTAGCCAACTTGAGAAAAATTATAATTGGCAAAGATGCCTCACATCAGCTGTGATAAGGCATATTATAGAGTTGGAATTTCATATAGATGATTTTGGACAATTGATAAATATTCAAATACCAATCAATGCTCTCAATTGTTTTGCAAATATATTTATTGAAATTTTATTTTGAGCTTGTATTAATTTTTTAAAATCAGATTTAGTTTTAGGTTATTATGTATTTCTTAATCAGAAAAAATTTAGAATATAATTATTAAGAGTTTCTTTCTTGACATTCTTCTTCTATTTATAATATTTGCTAGTCATGAAAATAAAAATACAAATGCTATAATGCTATTACTTATTGACTTTTATTGTTTTATTAATAGTTAATATAATATTAGAAATGAGATGCATATAAATTTTATGTGTATAGATATAGAAATGAGATATAAAAATGTGTATATTCAATTAGCTTAAAAACCCTAGTTTATATATAGGAGTAAGTTGTCTGAATCTAAACCAAACTGGTATGGAATCCTTAAAAAATGAATAACCACTTACTTGTGATCATAAACATGAGCTCTACATCACATCTCTAGCCAATAAAAACACTTATATAGTTTCTTAGTTACACAATGATATTTTATATGCCCACCTAAAATAGAAAAGTCATGATGAGTATGTAGAAAATATAAAATCAAAATCGAAGGCACTATTAATTGCAAATGGTCATCATGATTAATCCCCACAAAATAAAAAAGATTATCTTCATAGCAATTTAAAATATAAATACCGAAACAACAAATTATTAACAAATGATGTAGGAATCTTAAACTCATCATAAGTATTTAGATCTATAATTCAACCTTTTAAGCCTTACAAACTTTATCAAAAGAAGGTAAATCTAGCTTTGCATCTTATAGACACTAAACATCAAACACAACAATTACTAATAGCATGAAATCCTTGTCCAAAAACTCCATAAACACAACAATTACTAATAGCATGAAATCCTTGTCCAAAAACTCCATAAACACAACAATTACTAATAGCATGAAATCCTTGTCCAAAAACTCCATTGATGCTAGAATAATAAGCTTATTAGGAATATAAAAATGGAAAGGAGCTTAAAAAAGGGCATTAGCATTAGCTATAAAACTTAAAGTTATATATTTGAAACTTTAGAGCCCACTAAGCAATTCGACCAACTAAATTCTTCTGCTTTAATAATGAAGTGATTGCAACATGATCACCCTTTAACAACATCCAAAAACCATATAAGTATGTATAAAGCTTTTATGCTTTATTTCGTTAAAGTGGGACTTATTCAGTAAAGTGGGACATTAATTAGCATGTGTCCACATGCCATTTCCTAGTACTTAATTAATATTTATTAATATTTCTATCAGTTTTTTAATTTATTTTTTTATATTTCACAATATTATAACACAAAATCATATGAAAAGTTTTTAATTTATAAATTATAAAGTTAAAACTTCAATTTTTTATTGTTGTTATAAAAATGGCATGTGGCCACACACCATAAGTGGGATAATGAAAAGTCCCACTTTAACGAAATAAAGCATTTTTCAAAGCCCCAAAATGTAAACACTTCTCTATATTAAAGTAGTTCATTTCTCCTGATGGTAAGATACAATTGATGTACACAATGTGATTAATACACTCGTGTTTTCTTGCATCAATATACTTCTGAGACAAATATCAAAAACATCTACATATAAGATGAAATGTTAAGTGTAATCAAGATGCACCAAAACTAGAAGAGATATCAACACCACTTTGAGATTCAAAAATGTTTGTTTGTAGTCCTTAAATTAATTAAAAGATGATGTGGATGATTTAAACAATACTTGTAATAGTGTAGTATGATAAAAAAAGTAATCAATAAAATTATTAAAATATTACACCTTGCTAAGGAAGCATTCCACATCGTTAACACACTTTAGAGTAAGGAACTTTAGAAAAATCACAAATTTGTCAAGATTAACTTGCAAACTTTTGTGAAAAATGTAGTGACCAAGATAAGTTATGTCTTTGGACCCAAATACACACTTTAATTGCCTCCACTTCAAACTAAATTCCCATAGTTAATCCAATATTTTGTAAATATCACAGATATGCTCTTCTTACATCCCTTCAAAGTGGATCAAGGCATTATTATTGAAGCTGGTAGTCACCTTAGGCATATCATAAAGAACTTTATCCATCATCTGTTGAAAATCATTAAATCATTATTCAATTTAAACATCATCACCAAAGATTTGTACAAGCCAAATGGTATATAGAAAGTAATATTGGGAACATCTTCCTTAGCTATCAAAATTTGTTAAATACCTAGAAGCAAAATCTAATTTAGTGAACTAATGACTTTGCCCCAAACAATTTAGAAGATTAGCAATGTGCGGAAAAGGGTATACATTTGATGATAGTTGATGTAAAAATGAATACTTTAATTAGGATTTGTTATAAAACAGAGGTTCACATGCCCAATGATTCTAATAATTCTGAATAACACCTTTCTCCACCATTTTCTGGATATTTGCTCTTGAGATTTTAATATTCTTTGGTGAAAAATGCCAAACAAAAACCTTAATCAAATGAGCATCTTTAGCTGGAATAAAATTCATATTGCAATCTTAGCCCCCAAACGACATGTCAAAGTTGAAAAGATCAACATACTTATACTTTAGTTGTATAACACAAAAATTATCTAGGGGATTTGGAGAGGGAATAAAAAAACAAGAAGGAAATATAGTAAAAAGTAATGGTTATAAAAGTAAGGTAAAAACAAAAAGATGAAATAGAACAAAAGTGAGATGAATAGAATAAATATAAGGGAGTATAAAACAAAAGGAAGAAGCCTCCAAGTCATATTTAGCATGATTGTGCCACAATAAATTTATACAAAGGATGAGGTTAAAAACTTGATTCGACACCACTTACAATAATTAGAACTCAAGCTTGAAATCACTCATATGCACATGTTTGTTTCACTCTACACACATACATATATGGTCATTGTTATAGAGAATGAAGATTGGCTTTGCCACACGATACAAATATAAATGGCAATATATGATAACAAGTTGAGCAATAGAAGATAAAATAAAACTTGTATCAACCAATATAAAGAGGATAATAATAAACCTTTTATTATAAAACATAAAAAATAAACATTGGATAAATTGGTGTCAAATGAACCCCTTAATGGTATTCCTAAAAAAGTGATGAAGGGTTATTGACTTATTTGTGCAAAATCTCTCCACTACTTGTGTGATATCTTATTTCTTAAAAAAACCTTAGAATCAAGACCTTTCACCATAACAATATCAATAGGACATTATTGATGTCAAGCTCTTCATCTATGAAATAGAAGATGTCAATTGGGAAATATCGACAATATTGATATGTGTGGCCAACCTCATCACATACTTAACAATGAACATCATAGCCATAACTATGTCTTTGTCTATATCCTTGAATACAGATAGCAATAGTGTTGACCTCTATTGGAACAAAATTATTTTTGATAAGAACCAAAGTGTAGCTATAAGTAGAAGAAGTGATATCTCATAGTGTTGTGTTAGTCAAAAAGCATTATCAAGGATGGGTAAGTGTATAGACAAATTCTATATGGTTTTGAAAAAGTGTTGGCTATAACATACCAGATTTCATTTGGCTCCACATGAAATAAGAGACTTTAAAAATGAACCTTAAATTGCATAATTGATTTAGATAGCCTTGAACAAAGATGATGCAATTACTGGAAGGCATTATCATTATTATTAACATGTCCAAATATACATTTGAAAATGTTCAAGAGAAGACTCTAATCCATATGAGTGGCTGTGCTCACAACTCTAATACTATTCCTTATAGACATATGACAAACTCACACAAATGCAAGATATCATCCCAAGAATGATAATCATTGTAAAATGATCAAACTAATGTATATATCATCCCTAGGATTCTTATAAGAAACAAAAAAAAAAAAAACTTAACAAATAATCTATAAAGTTCAAATATAGAGAGAATGAACTCATGAATAAAAGTGCACCCCTTTTTCCAATTGGCTAAGGGTGTTGAGATATTTGGGGTTAAGTGTCTTTAGCTTTAAATTGTATTAGGTTAGGTGACCTCTCGGGGAGTGAGCTTACAGTTCCATGGAATGGATTGACAATAAGAGTAAGAAGAGTTGCATTATGCATTGTGAATAGTACTATTAGTTGAGTTTAATTGGTAAATCTAAACAAAAGTATAAATTTAAAAACTCCTTAGAGACAATTAAAGCTACCCTTCATCTCCACTAATGTGAATGCATAAAATATAGAAATGGAAAATAGAAATATTTTTATAAAATTAGCTCTTAAAACCCAATGGTTCATATCAAAACCAATATGAGGTTAACATGATTGACACTTTCAGTATTTGCAGAAAAGATTTAAACCACAAATCTTAGCTAGTATAGTTAAAATTCATAGAGGTCACTTCATTGTATTGGCTTGGGAAAGCGTGCATGTATTTCAGGGGTATAAAAATAACATTTATATAGGGTATGAGAATTATATAAGGTAGAAATTTTTCTTTCTTTTATGAGGGATACTTATTTGGGAGATAGGTGATAGATATTTTCTTTGCTCTCTACAGCTGTGTTTTGTAGCAATGGTGAGATAACAAAGAGTTATACATGATAAGGGCCTATTAGAGCCATAGTAGTGTACCTAGAGCTATAGCAATGGGCTATAAGAAGGGTTTTGTAGCCACAGGTGCAATGTCCCTGGCCATGGTTGCATTATTGATCTGATTATAAAAATCAATCTTAGATTTTGTATATTTATTTACACTTTAGGGAGCTTTATATATATATAATACTTGAGTAATTTTTATATTTATTTTTATTCTCATATTACTATAATAATATTTTAAGAACTAATATGTATTTTTACCAAACACCTCTATTCTATAAAAAAGTGAAAACAAAAGTCACAACAAATATTTAACATAGATCTAAATAATTTTATTGCCCAATTTTTAAATGTAACTATCTATTAAAATCTAGTTTCTAATATGCAATACTTTATAAACTTTAAATATAAATACTTGTTCAAAATGTTAATTAGGATAGAATTTGTTTCTTAATTTTTATTGTTTTAAAAAACTAGCCAATATTACATTAAACTTTGTATATGGGTTAATTGTTTACTTAAAAAAATTTATTTCTTCTATATCAATCAGAATTTAATTTAATCACCAATGATCAATTAAAATAAATTTTCAATAAATTTAATTTAAAATTTAGTTATTTTTCCATTTTCTATATTTTCTTCTATTATATTTAATTTAGAAAGAAAACTATAATTTTCTTCATTTTTTGAATGAAACTTTAAAACTTATATTAAAAACAATTCATGAAATAGAACATGTTTAAAAAGGGTAGATATAGATTATAATTGAAATGCATTCAGTATGTTAGTCTTTTGTATAGTATAATATAAACTTGTTAATTTGGTACATATATTAACTCACCTTTTTGGAGGGGATTTAGCCCCTCCTAGGCATGAGTGTTGGGTCATGATATTATTTATAAATTAATGGTGTTGATTTTGCCACTATGCAATTAATTAAGAATTAATTTTAGACTGAAATGTTTCCTAAAAACATTAAGGAATGTTTAAAAGAACTTTAAATCTTATTTCTACAACTCCAGCTATTTCCATCTAGTTCAAGAAAAGCAATTGTATAATATTGGAGGTGGTTTCTTTTATTCTATAACTTTGAAATTCTTGTTTAATAACTAGAAACAATTGGTCAATAGATTTGATCTTTGCAATTTAATCCAAATTTGTCCTAATGAGATAAAGAAAATGGTATTAACATCAAACATTGGAAAAATACAAGGGATTATCCATTTCACACATTCTCTTCAATACTTTATAAGTATTTTTTAAGAGCATATATGATACTATATTCTTCCTAATGATTAATTAATAATTTATAGTTTTTTCAATAGTATAAATTATTATAACTTTATATTTTAAATATGTTTTTAAAATTAAGAATAGTTTTATTAAAAATAATCTAAGCTATTTTCTTAATCCATCTGGATATTATAAAAATCAACTAAAATAGATAATTTACCATTTCAAATAGTAGTCCTTCATGGATGTTTGCCCTTCACATAATTATAGTTGGTTTAATAGGAGGCTAAAATTTGAACACTTATTTATTTAATAATTTGTGGAAGTCAGTTATTTGTAACTATAAAAATATTATAGACTGATTTAACCATTTTAAAAATTTCTAGTTGGTTATATTTATAGTGGGAGATAAATAATATATTTAGGCCATCTATACCTCAGAAAATGTGATGATGATTTGCCATGTTTTTAAAAAATAGGAACCCACAATGATCTCTATTTCTAATAAATTTTAGCAACTTTCTCAGCAAGCATTTTTGGAATTTACCTACATATATAATTAGGAGTTATAAAGAGAGAAAAATCAAAACCAGTTGCCAAATTGTGTAAACACCATCCCACTTCATAGTAATGGAATTTTATCTTTGCAACTAATTATTAAATGATCTTATTTTTATTGGGTTTTAAAATAACTGGGACATAACACAATTATTTTACCACATTAGTTTTAACTACTTTATCCAGTTCAAAAGTTCATTGTTGCAATACAAATATAATGGCTCACTCCACCAATACAACTATAAATCCTGAAACCCCACATATAAATTTTGTGAAATCACATATGACTTATATGACTTATGCTTCTAGTACATGTATTAACTGTTTTAGATTCAGTGTTTGGCGGTATTAAGGAGGAGATGAACTTTGTTGGTGATTCTAGGTAACAAGAAAGTGTACAACTATAAACTTGCACCACATTCAATTTATTTGAGTATAAGTCTATAGTGGAATAAATTCTAGTCAATATATCCCATCTTTATAAGAAAATAAAATTTAAAATATTTAGCTACAATTAATTTCTTGGTACCCTCTGCCTAGGATGGAGGTTACAATCAAACTCCACTGAATATTCTTGCCTAGGTAGTGAGCCCTATTAATAATGCAAAAGCATAAAGTGAATAAGGCTTCCAGACAAAGATATGAGGACCTAATGTGGTAGATGTACATGTAGTTCCCATCCAAGAGTCTCCTTACACGAGGATTCAAGAAACCTTGTTCACTAAAAACTTACCCAACCAAGAAAAGGTGACACTCTGTTTCTAACTTGCAAAATCCAATTGGGTTTATAATTATCTTGTGGCTGTTTCAATCCAACAGAATCAATGCTAGGAGATCAAGAGAGAATATAGTAAGTTGTAAGAAAAGCAAATAAAGATTACTTTACAAAACTGCTTAAGGATGCTTTGTTGTTAGTGACTAACTATAAGTTACAATCAAAGCTTTCCAAAACACTCTAAAATTCACAATCTCTCTCCTCTTTACTCACTAGGACTTTTAAACACTGTTATTCTTTCCAAGAACAGGATGAAACTTAGCCTAACTTCCCTGTTATTGCCCTCTTTTTTATGGTTGACTCTTTTGCTAATTTCTTTCAAATCTCTATTATCTTCAATCCTAAGATCCAACATATACATCCTAAAGTTTTAAAATAAAATAGTTGACTATAAATGAAAGGATACTTGATAAAAGCTAACCAATTGGCAATACAAACACTCAAATTCAAGAGACAATACAAACCTGGCAAGTCCTCCAGTGTATAAATTGTGCTTGACTATTTATCATTTTATTGGAATATTTCTAACTATTTATTAATAAATTGATAACTTTAAGTTACTAATTTATTTTTGTTAATAATTATTTATGGTTAATTTGAAATTAAGGGAGGAAAACACAAGTAAAATTTAATTAGACATCTATATAAGGAATACGCAGTACATTCCTTAGGAAAAAAATAAGCTGTCAATCTATCATGGTGGACAATTGCTTGAGATTGAAGGGCTCTATAGCTCCCAAATCTCCACCCCACAGCTGCTTGAAGACGAGAGAGTAAGCAACCTCGGTGGGGTGTACTCTGTCCCAGAAGAGAAATCTAGACGGTTTCTTTCCGGTGGCCACCTTGTATGGATAGTTTGGTGGAGCTTTTCTCCCACAGCTGACACCTGCATTAAAAGGCCCCGCTCCACAGCAAGCAGATGTCGTGCTCGCAAAACCTGCCGGGAAATGATGAAACATATAACAATTAATTAATTCCAAAAGGGCAAAAAAAGAAAAAAAAAGAAAAAAGAAAAGTGAAGATGGTGGCTACGTAACTTACCATAATGTGTTGCGTTGTTGAGGATCCCAGTGAAGATGTTGAGCGTTTTGCCGAGAGCGATCTTCATATCCGGAAGCTGGGATCGCAAATCACGAACAAGCTGCTCGAGATTTGCATTGAAGAGCACGCCCATCTGATTGGCTTGTGTGAGGCAGCCAGTCTCGTTCATGGTGCTCGCGACGAGCCGAGAGAATGGCGTGCAGCCAAGAACTCCCAGCTCGAAAATCGCCATTTTCCTCGCACCGAGTCTGTGAAGAGCCTGTCGCCAAAACATTGTTTTCTTGTTCTTGGAGAAAAAGATCAAGGTTTCTTCCTTACCAGGATGGTTTTGTTATATTCATGAATGAGGCCCTGGACGAATTCCTGTGGCTTTACAGTCTGCTGGAGAGTTGTGTTTTCAAGATAGGTGATTCCGATATCGTTGCTGCCGCTTGTGATGATGTAGAGAGCTTGGGAAAGGAATTGTTTTGCATGAGCGGCATTCCCCATTTCCTTGGTCAGTTTGGAAGCAACTTGGCTAAATTGTTTGATCTGGCTGCTCATCGAGAAAACACCCTGTAGAGATAAAGGAAAAGAAAAAAAAAGACGATTTTTAGCTCTGGAACAATATGACATCAAATGATCTTGCACTGGGAAAAGGAAAAAAGAGCGTTTTGTAAGTGAGGAACTTGATTTCAGGATCGATGAAAAAATGGAGCTTTTGCAACAACAAGGAAATGAAAAAGAGAATTTTGGTGTGAACTTACAGCATCAAAGCTCGTCGACTCGAGCAATCCACTCCCTCCAGATGCGAAGTTAGCTCCTTTGGAAAAGTTCGCAGCCGGATCAAGCGAAGGTCGAAGCAATGGTAGTCCGAGATGCATAGCTGAAGTTGCAAACTTCAGTTAGAACATCAATCGGTCTTTGCGCATGCAACTTGGAAAACGAAAAAGGGGAAAGAACAACATTTGGCAAACTTACCGAGAAAATCGGCGATGGTTCTTCCATTTGTAAACCTTCCAGTTGGCCTGTGGAAGAAAGTCTCTCCATAGGGAGGAAAATCGACACGCGCGGAGGAATTCGCTATGTAGACGTTGTTTCCGGCATCGAGCAGCGAGTCCCCAAACGCAAAGAGAGCTGGAACAACGCTTCTCTCGCTCTCGAGCGCTCCCGTAGCAGCAGCGACGAGCAGCGCCGCGATCAAGAACCGGAACATCGGTTCGAGATCGAAGTGGGAGAAAGATGCCGATTTCTTTTCTCTCTTTCTTTTTGTAGTCACAGTCGCGAATGGAGGTCGAAAGTTTTCGAGCTAGGTGTGGCCTTTTATACAGTACTGCCAGCAGAGGGAAGAGATTCTTCCGTGATTCGTTGCGAGGTACGTTTCGAGGCTAGAACGAGACGCGCGGGGATGTTTTCTATTCCATTCTTCGTTTCTCTTCTAGCAGACAAAGTTGAATGGGCGAAGAAGAACAGGGCTTTTTTGGTTTTCTAGATCTGGAGCAGCACAATGCACAGCGTCGTCCATCGCCATTTCTTCCAGAGAAGTAACGGTAGCGCGCACAGGAATCTCTCGCAAGAACAGGGGATTCGCTGCCCAATTCGCGAGAAAAAACAAAGAACAATCTCCGTGACAGTTGCTGTTCAGGTGAAAGAGAAGCGTCCTTTGTTAGTTGATCCACTCGTGCCAGAGCCACACAAAGAGGATTTAATCTTATCCCCGCATTCTAGGGTTTAGGGTTTAGGGATTCTCTTCTTCCAGGGCGGAGAAATGCCCGGGGCGGCGCGGCGCGCGCGAGGATGAGATAGGTGAGTGAGATTCACGGCAGGAGCAGCGCCAATGTGGCCTTGCAAGTCTTCGCGGCTGATCACGCCACTGGGATTACCCGCATTGCCTCCCATTTACTCCTTTCGGGGTAGCGTCGACGCCAGGCGCTTGTGGATTCAATCGGAAGCACGATCCAAGCCCATAGCCGCGGCTAGGAAAGCGAAAGAGACCGCATCACTAGAGATTGCCGTGAAGAAAAGGAGCAAGAAAGTAGCGATTGTCGGAGAAGTAAAAGAGGCTGAGAAGGAGACCTACGAGGAGGAGGTAGTTCCTTTGGAGCCGAACGAGTTAAAAACAGCCTCCGAGGGAAAGGACACAGTGACTTTGTTAGATGGCGAGAAGAAAGTTTCCATCACTGACGGCAAGAAAGTTTCCATCAAGAAAGCTCGTGCTAAAAATGAGGATATGGTCGTGTTAGACAGTGAGAGTACCACGTCCATTTCTTCTGGGGATCCAGAGGCTGGCCCGAAGAAGGTTTCCATCAAGAAAGCTCGCGCTACAAAGGAGAATTTGGTCGTGGTGGACAGCGATAGTACCACCTCTTTTGCAGAGCCAGCGCTGCAGCCAGAGTTGGGTGATTTTTGCATTGGTCCTTGCCGGCAGCAGCATTCCGTTCGGATTCCAGTTGGTGATCGACAGGTAAGCGTTGGCATTTTTCGTTTTTCTGCTCATTCGTGGTACGTTTTGGTCCTCGTGTAGATTGTTCTCGAAACGGGTTCGATAGGTAGGCAAGCTGGTGGTGCTGTTACAATCAGCGATGGAGAAACTGTGAGTTTTAAGCTGTTCTTTGGTCTTGCCATCTCTCTGACGTGTTCTTTCTTTTCAACAGATCCTGTACACGACTGTTTGTACTTCTGCTGAGGCGAGCGAGCCATCTGATTTTGTTCCGCTGTACGTGCATTATCACGAGCGCTACTCTGCTGCTGGTCGCACAAGGTTTGTGCTTCCTATGCATTACAAATAATCACTTTGCCACTCGTCATTTCAGTGGTGGATTTAACAAGAGAGAAGGGAAGCCACGAGACAGCGAGGTAAAAAGCGCAAAAATACTGTTGCGGATAGTTGTAATGAGTTTGTGGTTGCCAGGTTTTTATATCCAGACTTGTGGATCGGCCTTTAAGACCGATGATACCGAAAGGGTATTTTCATGAGATACAAGTGCTTTCTTGGGTAAATATTTTTTCTGAAAAGAACGGAGTTCCTTATTTACGTATACATTGCAGCTGCATTTGTAGGTTTTGAGCTATGATGGTTCGCATTTGCCTGAACCGCTGGCTATTACTGCTGCAGGCGCCGCTCTGTAAGCTACTTTTTTTTGCGACAGCGCTGTTGCTAACTTAGTGCGTTGCAGGGCACTTTCAGATGTTCCTGTTTTGAAGCCTGTGGCTGGAGTAAGAGTCGGTTACATCAATGGGAAATATGTTCTCAACCCGACAGCTAGCGAGGTTACGAAATCAAGCCTTGATATGATAATGGCAGGGACAAGCGATGGTCTGCTCATGATCGAGGTATACAATTTTGTAATGACATTGATGACCGTGTTGTTCATCAGGGATATTGCAACTTACTTAGCGAGGATGAATTGGTGAAAGCAGTAGAAACAGGCCAGGTGGAGCATTTAAATCTTGGATATGGCACTTAACTCGTAGCACATTTTTGCAGCGTGCAGTGAAGATAATTTGCAAGGAGCTGGAGGAGTTTGGAGAGAAGTTTGGAAGGAAAAAACGCATTCTGAAGGCACCGTTTTCCACTTCCGGTCTAGAGGAACGAATCAAGGTTTACAATGAATTTACGCCTTGTTGTTTGCTCACGCACGAGTTATTTCTTTGCAGGAAATCGTGGGAGATGACCTTTACCTGGCTCTTCATATACGCGGCAAGCAGCCTCGCGCTGCAGTGATAACTGCTTTGGAAAAGAAAGTATGGTCAAAACTGACCGAGGAAGGCGTGGCATTATCCAAGACTAGAGAGCAGCTTGAGTATGCGCACGTATGGGATGAGGATGAGATTAAAGATGGCGAAATTGACCAAGGCGATGTCCATATAACGCCTACTCCGAGAACCAGTTTCACAAAGGTACCTCGAGATCTACTTGAGCTGCTAATAAGGTGGTGCTTTTTATCTAGCTTTTTGATGCTGCCACTGTTAAGCTTGCCTTCAAAGAGTACACTTCTAAGACCTTGAAATCAATAATTGCCAAGGTAAAGATCATTTAAAGTCTTAACGAGAAAATCATGGACGGTGTAGGAGAAAGTGCGTAGTGACGGCCGTGGAATATCAGATGTTCGGCCCATCAGTTGTTCGTGTAATCTGCTTCCTCGAGCTCATGGTAGTGCGATTTTTACTCGTGGAGAAACGCAGGTTACTATTTGCTGATTTTTCATTTTTGTGAAACGCTGACGAGCCATATCCGGTAGGCTTTAGTAGCTGTTATACTGGGTGGTGATAATATGGCGCAACGCATTGACGGTGTCACTGATGCTGATGAAGTGAAACGCTTCTACGTGCAGGTAGAAGTCTGCTTAAAATTTAAAAACACGAAGCATTGAAAGATCATGGCATGCAGTACGTTTTCCCTCACTCCTGCGTCGGGGAAGTTGGTCGCATCGGCCCTGCTAGCAGACGAGAAATTGGTCATGGAAGGCTTATCGAGAGGTCCCTTGAGCCTATATTTCCGAGCAAATTTCCATACACAGTCCGCGTTGAGAGTACCATCACCGAAAGCAATGGCTCCTCAAGGTTCTCTCGTCTCCTTTAATGTTCCATAATAATCCGCGACTTTGTGTTTTCAGCATGGCATCTGTGTGTGGAGCTTATCTTGCTTTGTGTGACGCTGGGGTTCCAGTCAAGTGTCCGATTGCCGGTGTTGCAATGGGCCTTATTTTGGATCCAAAAGAATACGGTGGTAGCGGCGGACCCGTAATACTGACGGACATTCTTGGCTCCGAGGACGCCTGTGGCGATATGGACTTGAAGGTTTGCTTGCAAGCTGCCTCACTTTCGTTGGTAATAGTTTATTCCTTTATGGGAATCAGGTCGCAGGTAGCAAGGAAGGCATCACTGCGTTTCAGATGGACCTCAAGGTGAAAAACAATTCAATGGATATATTGTCTTTTCTTACATTCTGAAATAAAACTTAAACAGGTCCAAGGAATCAACTTGTCAATCCTGAAGCGAGCCCTTTCAAAGGCTAAAACTGCAAGATGTCATATTCTCAGTGAGACCTTCGTTTTTCTTTCATAAAATTTCTGCCACTGACTCGCATTTTCTTGTAGAGGAAATGACAATGTGCTCTCCTCCGCCATCGACGAAGCTTTCTAAGCATGTCGACCTCATTGACTTTGTAAAGGTGCGATTTTATTCATTCTTCTATGAACAACGTATCGATGCCTTTTGGTTTCCAGGTTGGTCGCGAGAAAGTAAACATGGTTGTAGGAACCGGCGGTAAAACTGTGAGGCAAATTATCGACGACTCGGGCGTAGAATCAGTAGATGTCAGCAGTGACGGCTCGGTCAGTAAATTTCAGTACATTTGCCGCGACAAAATCTCGTGACTAAGTCGTATGGCTACAGATCCGCATAGTTGGAAAAGACCGAGACAAGGTTGACAAAGCAATGGAGAAAATTCGTAGTATTACGACCGATCCTACTGTAGGAACAGTATATAGGTACGCGCACCTTTTTTGGCGTGCATCACAATGCTTGACAGTTGTTTTGCCCTCTGTAGGAATTGCCCCGTGAAATCTTTGACATCGTTTGGGTGTTTCTTGGAGATTAGTCCTGGTCGAGAGGTGAGAGTTATCACGCAAATTCACGCGGATCTTTTTCTTTCTTGGTTGTTACAGGGACTTTGTCACATAAGTGAGCTAACTACAAACAGATTGTCAAGGCCAGAGGAAGTAAGTCGAGAGTTTCACACGTCCTACTGTTCTAAGTTCTTTGTTTATTTTTTCCACTCTAGTTCGTGGCTGTGGGTGAGCGCTTGGATGTCAAAGTGATCGAGGTAACAAAGATGGCATTTTTTCTCTTTCCCCTCTCGGCTGGTTCTCTAAAAACATAACCGTGTTTTTCCAGGTGAATTCGCGAGGGCAAATTAGATTGAGCCACCGGGCGATTCTAGAGGACGAGAAATCCGCGAAGAAAGCATCCTTGACATCAGCAGCAACGAAGTTGAGCAAGCTATTGTCGAAGAGGAGGCAGCAACTCTAGCGAAGTTTTCCTTTTTCTTGGGTGACCCCGGGAGGAGAAGATTTTTGTAGCACGAACAAGGTACTCTCAACTCTAGCATCTCTAGATCCTGTTTTCTACCAGCACTGATCGGTCTCCCAGTTAAATCCCCTCCACTCGCGATCGAGCCCCTCCAATCCCCCAGGCTTTTGCATCTGAGAATCATACTCGGTCCTGGCAGCTCGATCCTTGAGAACATCGTAGGCTCTCTGGACCTCGAGAAATTTGCCTTGGTGCTGCGGCCAGAGCTCTGGCGGTGCCAGATCTGGATGATAGACCTTGGCGAGCCTCCGGTAGGCCTCCTTGATCTCGAAATCCGACGCCTCCAACCCAATTCCTAGAATCTCGTACAGCGATCTTTTCTGGGAAGAACAAGCTAGACCTAGCGTCGAGGATTTCGCCGACTTAATCCTTCCTCCTCTGATGAAAGAGCTGTAGAGAAATCTAGCGCTCGCGCTGTCGCTCTTCCGCGAGAGCGATGACCTAAATTCCCCATGGGACGCGCCACAAGCGCCATAGCCACGAAGAGTAGCGCTCATCCTGATGTACACGTGGCAGAAATGAATTGTGCCACGTTGTACAATTAGTTTTTAAAGTAGCGTGGCGATTATGTACGTTTCTGTCCACTCACAATGCCCAGCGCTTTCCCTTTAGGGTTCTTCGTGAGCTGGTCAAGGAAGGCGGTAGTAGCGGCATCGCGGCTCCAGCTCGAGGTACTTGATCGAAATTTTTGCTACTCCATTGCAATGCGCGCGCAGGAAAATCGCTTGTATGGGAGCTTGACGCGGTAAGAAATGGCGGTGTTCCTGGATCAAATATCGATCGAAGGTATCGTTCTACTGGTTTTTCTTCTGGGGATCGGGCGCGTACACTGCCAGGAATCAGATGGTTTGGATTTCCAGCAGCGACAAGGTGATTTGCAACGAGTACTAATTTTTTGGCGTATAGAACTTTCTGACCAAGTCTTTTACAACAGTGGAAGGCTATGGTCGGAAGTTTGGTAGATTTGAGCAAGCCAAAGTAGGAGGAGGTGCTGGCTCGATGATCTTAGTCGCTGGATCTGGTACTCTTCTGACTTGCTTGGTCCTGTGCCCGTGTCTTCAAGCCAAGCACAAGAACGACAAGCCTCGTACCTTTCCAAAGGATGAATCATGTAAGCTTGGAAAAAAATTCGAATGTTTTTTACTCGATTTTGGTTTTTCTTGCAGCGAACATTTCTAAATCTTCTTCTCCAAAGGAGGGAACTTCTTTATCTTCGCAACCGGCGTCGTCTTGCATTAAAATGAGCACGACAGGGTCGGGGGCATTGACGTTCACAATGGCCGAACTTAACCGAATCACGGGAAGCTTTTCATCCAGTCATAAGATTGGAGGTGGCTCCTCTGGAACAATCTACAAAGGAAAGCTCAGGGATGGCACTTTGGTTGCGGTCAAGCGAGCAAAAAGGGTAAGAATTTCCAATTCATTTTCACAAATATAATTCTCTGCCACTTCAGGACTCCTTTGAGACTCGTCACACCAAGGAGTTTGAAAACGAGGTTAACATGCTGTCCAGCATTGAACACTTAAATCTCGTGAAACTCGTTGGTTATCATGAGGACGAGCGGGAACGCATACTTGTTGTTGAGTACGTTCCGAATCGAAATTTACGCCAGCACCTCGATGGTAAGCCCTGTTTTCATGTTTAAACACGAACTTACGTTTTTCGGGTTTTAAGATGCTCATAACATTCTTGATTTCTCGACGAGGCTGGATATTGCCATCGACGTAGCTCACGCTCTCACGTACCTTCACCAGTATGCAGGTACCATTTGTCTCAAAGATCTCTTTCTTCAACTCCCTTATTGCCAATTGTAATGACTCTTTGTGTCCTTGTTTCAGAGCAGCCTATCATCCACAGGGACGTCAAGTCGTCTAACATCCTGCTCACGGACACCTGCAGAGCCAAGGTTGCGGATTTTGGATTTTCGAGAGTCGGGCCTTCGGATGTGGGAGCAACTCATGTCTCAACACAGGTCAAAGGCACGGCGGGTTACTTGGACCCCGAATACCTTCAAACATATCAGCTCACAACGAAAAGTGACGTCTACTCGTTTGGCATTTTGCTCATGGAGATTTTTTCGGCAAGGAGACCAATCGAGCTTTCCAGACCAAGTGACGAGCGCATTACAATTAGATGGGTAAGCAAATGACGCGGGATTGGTCATGATTGGATTTTAAGTTTTGCTTACAGGCCTTCAAGAAGTTTGTCGAGGGAAATATTCAGGATGTTTTGGACCCTGCCCTTCCGAAGAATCCACCATTGGTGACTCTACTGGAGATGCTCGCGGAGCTGGCCTTCAAATGCGCAGCACCTAGCAGGAGAGACAGACCAAGTATGAAAGAAGCTGCGGAAATCCTCTGGAACATACGAAAGGAGTATCAGGCAACCGTCTCTCAGGCAAGCACCCCGAAGGCTTTTGCGTTCGAGACTCGCCACAGTCCCTTGCCAAGTCCGATGAAACACTCTCCCGCTCAGAAGCCTCTACACAGTCCACAACATAGTCCGCTACGCACCAGTATGGAAAGAAGTCCATTTCACAAGCCTCAGAAGAATTGGAGCTGAGAGACCATCCTCCATCAGGTGCGTGTTTATATCTATATAGTTGATTCAATACCAATCAATGGTTTCTTTGCCACAGGTTTAAATATATAGGATGTGCACTTCGAGAGTCACCAGTCTCAGCAGACACCGTTTGTTTTGCTTAGCGCGAACTTCTTCCAGACCTTGAAAGCTCGCTGCGAGTTGCGAATGTCCTCAAACACGGAACTCTTTCGTAGATCCAGCTGGGCCTTCACCTCCCCCGGTTCGGCATCTAAGAGCTCTTTCTTGACCTCCGGATCCTTGGCTAAAGCTTCGGTTACAGCCTGGATTAGCCGAGGGGGATGAGCGTCCAGGTACTTGAACACCGCAACAATGTCGGAGACGAGACGATCGGCCAGAGTCCTGCTAAAGTCCTCCCGGACAACGACTCGGAGCAGCGTAACATCCTGGGCATCCGGAGCCATGGTGTAAGCAGGAACGATCCAGCCGTAGCGGCGGAGATGGTCAGCAATCTCGTACTCGTCGTGGTTCTTGCGGTCTTTGAGCGAGAACGCTACCACTGGAACTCCAATTTCCTTGGAGAGAATGACGAAGCGGCCAGTGGCAACGAGAGCATCAGCCAGGATTTTAGCATTGGCTTGGCAGTTTTGCATGATAGACTTGTATCCCTGTGTAGAAATCCATAAGAAAAAGGAGATTGTTCTTTGTTCTTAAACTTACCCTGAAGCCGAGACGAATGAGCTGGTAATACTGAGCTATAATCTGACTAGCACCTGTGGTAAAAGAGAGAATGGTAAGAGAGTGATAGAACAAAAGAACACTCAAAGAACCTTTGGAAAAATTGAGAGTGAAAGTTGGCTGGTCGGCCCCAAGATAATTGATGTGGAAGACGAGCTCTTCCGGAAGATCTTCCTTGCCTCTCCAGATAACCCAGCCAATCCCAGCGTACACCAATCCATACTTGTGGCCACTCACATTGATGCTCTTGACAAGAGGCAATCGAAAATCCCACTCCAAATCTGGATAGAGGAATGGAGCGATGAATCCTCCACTGGCGGCATCAACGTGGATAGGAGTATTCCATCTAAGGCCAAAAAAAAAGAAAAGTTTCAAGCTTTTCCTCGACGAACACAAAGAGATCTTTTACCCAGTGTCTTTGTTCTTTTTTTCCAAGAGCTCGTTGAGGAGCTTCACGTCTTCGAACTCTCCGTTGTAAGTGGAACCAAGGATGGCTGCAATGCAAATGGTGTTCTCGTCCACCATCTCCACCGCCTTGTGTGGATCCATCACGTAGTAATCCTTGCTCAGCTTCACTTCCTTGAGCTCCACTTCAAAGTAGCGAGCGAATTTCTCCCAGCAAACCTGTGGTGATTTCATCAACAGTTCTCAGCATTCTCTCCAAGAAAAGATGCACAAAACAAAACTTCATTGACGAAACTGAAGAGAAACCAACCTGGACGTTTGATCCAGTGACAATGTTTGGCTTATCCCATGGCTTTCCTTCGGCCTTCCTCTTGTTTTGCCACTTTCGCTTGAGAGCTAAACCGGCCAGCATTATCGCCTCGGAAGAACCAATAGTTCCAGCTCCAATTGCTTGCTCCGAGTCTCCCACTGGAGCATTGAACAGCCGAGCGATCATGTTCACGCATCGATCCTACGAGCAAAACAAAAAACCATTAATTTAAGAGAAAAAAAAAACGCTAGCGTTTCACGAAAAACCATTAAAAAAAACAATGCAAACATGCAAAGTCATGCTCGAGAGATATTTTCTTTTCGAACCTGGAGCTCTGTGGTCACCGGATACTCGTCCATATCGATGTAATTCTTGTTGAGCGAGGCCATGACGAGCTTGTCACACTCGGGCTCCATCCAAGTGGTGACGAAGGAGGCGAGATTGAGACGAGGATTTCCATCCAGCATGAGCTCGTCCGAGATGATCTGATAGGCGGCATCCTTGGGCGTCTCTTGGTCGGGAATGCGGTACCTAGAGAAATGAAAAGAAGTGAGCCTCGACATCTCGAGAGACAAATCCCAGGATGGATCTCGGCAGGGCCAGATCCACTCGTGGCGAGGCGAAAAAATGCGATTTTGGTCGAGAACTCGGGATGGTTTTCTTCTTACCTTGACACCGAGGATTGCGAGTAGCGAGAAGCAAACGTGGACTGGAGGCTGGTGTCCGCCTCGGAGGTCATTGTGAGAACCATCTTGAATACCTTTGTTTTGTACTTGCTCCTGTTCTTCTTTTTGCGCTGGAGGACCTCGTGGCTCAAACACAAGCCACAGCGCAAGAGGCAGAGAGGGAGAGATCACCAAGAAAACAGCGCTTGAGAGACACTAGGCAACTCACAAGAGACCCGTGTTGTGCCTTCCAACTAAGAACCCCCCCTTTTCCTCACGGAATTTTGCCTTTTTTTTTCTGCTCTGTTTTTTTTTTCGCGTCAAAAGTAGGCGCGTTAAGTCCGCGTAGATAACTTGGACTTACGTTTTACTAGACATTTTGTAGCATATGATAGAGATGTGGGAGTGGTTTCCTATTGTTTTTATTCATTCCAGAAATATATAAAACCATGATTGATATGGGAATAGTTTTATATTGTTTTTATACATTTCGAGAAATTGTTGAGCGCGTCAGACTTCGGATCTGAAGGTCGTGGGTCCGAATCCCACCGTTGTCGATGTTTCTAGTTAATACCCAAGTAAGAAAAATATATTGCTCATTAAAATAATCCGCATTTTACTTGAAGTATGTTGAATCTGGATCGCCAGTAATGTTTAGCGGGTAACTAGCGGCCCATTGTTGAAATTCCTTCCACCGGCCCCACAGATCCCCGGGCGTCAACTCCGTCACCCAAGCCGGCATAAAGTCGGCTATGGAAGTTGTCTCTGCTGCGAAGTTTTGGATCCTTGTCATGCGAGGGATTCGAAGCTCTTCATACCTGTTTGAGGAAACCTCGCGGGACAACTTATGATCTGATCGTCACACAACTTTACCTGATCACTGCTCGTTTGAGATCTTCAGGACTTCCAGCCGCGAGGGCGGGCGAGAGAAGCTCACAGAGCTGATGTGCGTCTTCGAAGGCTGTTCGTGCTCCTTGGCCGGGGCCCCAATGCATCGCATGCGCAGCTAAAACGCGAGATTCTAAGAGACTCGTGTGTTTCTCAAAAACTTACCATCGCCCATGAGCACCACCCTGTGATTGAGATCGCTCCAGCTATCGAGTGGAATTCGGTCCTTGATTCTCCTCTGGAATATCTGCCCCGCCTCGGTTGCTTCCACCGCGACTTTGAGCGGCTCCCACGCGGGAGACGAGCCCAGAAGCTTGTCAATCTCTTGCAGCACCCTCGCCTTGCCGGATTCATCGCAAAATCCATCGCTGGATCCCTTCGCTGTGCTGCGATCCTCAACTCTAAGCACCCACAGCGTGTAATCCTCGCCTAGAGCAGCAAGAACAGTGTCAATTTCCGTACAAGAGCACCGTACCGGCGTCGACGAGGAAGGACACTGATGGGCCCTTCCGGATGCTTGCGATCTGGTCGCGATCGTGCACCGAAAATCTCCCAGGATTGTGGACGAGCGCGTTCCAGTTGATGAGATGGAGATCCCGCGGGCGATCGGCGGGATACATCGCTCGCCTCACCGCCGAGTTGATTCCATCGGCGCCCACCACGAACTTGGCGCGGAATATCGCGACCTCGCCGCCGCACTGGAATCGCAGCGCCACGGATTGATCTTCCAGGCGGTAGTCGAGGAGCGCGTGGGAGCAGTGGATGTACAGAGCTGGGACGCGCGAGGCGAGGATGGATCTGGCGCTGCGCCATTTCACGACGTAGAACTCGTCGTCCCGGACACCATCATACCTCGTCACAAAGGTCTCCTCGCCATTGCGCGATCCACAGAATGTGACCTTGGTTGTTTTGGTGATGCTCGCGACCGATTTGATCGCCGCCGAGAGGCCGACACTGATGCCATCCAAGGCGCGGCTGGCTGCGCATCAATCCAATCCGTTGGAGAGGAAAGATTAGGAGATCTATACCATTGGGACCGAGGCTGGTGGCCGTGGCGGTGTCCACGATGAGGTTTGGGGATTTCTCGAAGACATGAGCTTGAATTCCTCGAGAATGTAGGCCTGCGGCAAGCGCAAGGCCGGCCAGCCCCGCGCCAACTATGGCCACTTCCATCACCCGCTTGTCCACGCTCTTCCAACTGTTCGTACAGGGATTCGTACCTGGGATGTTAAAAAAATCTTGAGCATTAAGAAAATCAAATAAAATCTGAACTAAATATTCCTGTTGTCATGAGATGCCCTTTGGTGATTTTATTTTTCAGCAAGCCAGCCACGGTTTCAGAGACCAGTTACAATCTCACGTTCTGTTTATGATTATCCTTAGAAAGATCGTTTGGCCCATCTTCGCCAAGAGTGCATTGGATTTATTTAGGATCAGCAACTTCAATGGCTCCACCTCCGATCAAGTTTGACTACATACAAAGCACCCCATACAGCTACGCTCAGATTAAGAATAAAATAAAGTAAATGTAGAATTATAACTTGGCATAATACAAATACTTCTACTAAACATGTTTTAGCAAAGCAAACGATCGATGCACTTGGGGGACAAGCTGACCTGGCAGCAGCACCTGCCACAATTCATCAAGAAAGATTCATTTGAGTATTGGATTGAGAGATTGTTAAAACAGCATTCTTGCACCCATGAGTCTCCTGCTTAGAAGAGCAAAGGCGAGGCCTCGGGCCACAAAGCTGGTAAACGCAAAGGGACACCTCCTGGAGCGAGAAAGGGAGGGGTGTGTCGGGAGCCAGGACCGAGGGAGATGAAGGAATGTGAGTGTGGGAATGGAGGGAGCGAGAAGACCTCCACAACAAACTTGCAAACTTGTTTGCAGTCTTATGTTTTTTGTTAGGCACCACAAAACTGCCAAAACAGAATATAAATAATTCACATTGCAGTTGAATTTATTATTTTGTATGAAACGGAATTAATTCCTGCTCACTCGCTACTATGTTCGCGCTGTTACTCACCCCGTCTCTTATTCGTACCGGCCGTTATAAAATACGTCTAAATCAGTCATGTTGCAGGTAACTAGCGGCCCAGTGTTGAAATTCCTTCATCCGGCCCCTCTGATCTGAGGGCGTCAACTGTCCGGTATGAAGTCGGCTTAGTTTTGGAACATTGTCATGTGAGGGATTCGAACCTGTTTGAAAGAATTTGCGTTATAACTTCTGATCGTCATGAGACTTCACAGAACTTTACCTGATCTCTGCTCGCTTGAGATCTTCCGGATTTCCAGCTGCGAGGGCGGGGGAGAGAAGCTCACAAAGCTGATGTGCGTCTTCGAAGGCTGTTCTTGCTCCTTGGCCGGGGAAGATATTCATGTAACTTCTCCACACAAAACCTCATAAAAAACTTACCATCGCCCATGAGCACCACCCTCTGATCCAGATCACTCCAGCTCTCTAGTGGAATTCTGTCCTTGATTCGCCTTCCCTGCCTTGGTTGCCTCCACCGCGACTTTGAGTGGCTCCCACACGGGAGACGAGGCGAGAATCTCTTCGAGGATTGGCTTTTCATGTTTGGCAGTCAGGCTGCCTCAAAATTCCTTATGTATTCTGAAAGAAAAGAATATGCTTTTATATACCTTGTAAAATATATAAATATAAATATATTTTAAATATTAATGATAATAATTTTAATAAAAAA